GTGATATTGTGAGTTTGTGATGTTGTAGGGGGAAATATCTGGATCTACTAAGCCGATTTTCAAAATTCTTTTACCAATAGACAGCCACGTACTTTCTGAGTGGCATAGGCTTTATATTAACCCGAAGAATGAAAAGACTTTTTCATGGTACTATTATGAAATAATATGAATTGGGTCAGATATTTTTTAAGTGTTGAGTAGTATTTGCAAAGTAAGTCGGAGTAAAAACGGTCGAACGAAAACGTTTCTTACGAACGCTGCCTTGACGATGAGAGATATATGATTATGTTCTAGAGAAAAGTTGTAGAGCTTAATAATGCCTTTTTATATTAAAAAAATAATTTAAATCGGTAGGTCATGTTTATTGGTCATATTCATCAACAATTCTGAATACTTATCATAATAAGTAAATTTATCGTCTAAAATGCTTAAAACTTAAGACTTTTCCCTTTTACTGCATATAATTTGGACAAATGGTTAACGGACGGAAGGACAAACAGACGCGGTGGGGGACTTTGTTTTATATATATAAGGTGTAGATAGACCATCAAAACTTACGATTTTTTTACAATTTAACTTACGACACCACATTTTGAATAGATATTTGTTAAGAACGGTGCACCTATGGTTTCATACATCAATAGCTAAAAAGTAAACTCATAGATAAAAAGAATTAAATTGAAAAATCGTAGTAATTGAAAAACTATAGATTTGTCATATTTATGTATCATAATATACTGTAAACAAATTCTTTTTTAATTATTCTTGTGGCAATCCAAATATATAACCGTACATACCAATAAACAAGTTCTAAGGCAGTAAAACAAGTTAATACTTGTAGTTACAAGGGCATTGTCATTTAATGTGACTTAGATATGAGAAAAACTAACTACACCCCGCAGCTCTGACCACGAAAAACATACAGCTCAAGCTTCTTTGGATCTACATGACTAATGAAAATTAAACTAAATTATTGTTTCTAATTCATACTTCTGTACAGTCGCATTGGAATCGTTTTGCCGCTTTTTTGATTTAACAGCAAAATAATAATTATAATAATTATAACGCCAAATGATTGCATTATTTATATATAACAAACGTTCTTCAAATCATTTTTTTAAATATGTAGGCTGCTACCTAGAATTTCTTTAAAGAAAAACCCAACATCATTTTTGATTTGAACTCAGTACCACATGCTCTGCATCAGTTCATGCTAGCAACCAGATAGAAGAATGAGGCGACATTGGCGACATTATCAGATTGAGAGCAGATAGAAAAAAAATGATTAAAAAAATGATCCTTTTTTGGTGAAACATTGCAATTTTTCAGAAAAGACACCTAGGTATCTAGATAAACTTAAAAAGCAAAACCTTATCTACTAAGAATAAATTTTGATCCAAATCGTTAGTCATTTCGGAGATACCTACACGAAATAAATTTATAATATATAATATGTATACAGGAATTGTTCATTTAATAATCTACTTATATAAAAATCAATTGCTGTTTATCTCGCTAAAACTCAAAAACAACTGAACCGATTTGAATAATTCTTTTTTCTTTTGTTGTGTCAGGGGTGGTTTAATTATTAAAAAAATAGTGGAAACCCAAAAAAACATCTAGAAAATCAAAAAGTTCAGAACAGCTTATTTTGTACTTATGTGTATATAATATAAAGTTTATCTATTCCATAGTAACCCTTTAAACTTGCCAAGCTAGGGTGAGTCGCTAGTAATATCATAAAATTAAAGTTTTATGAATAATATTATATTGGATAGTATCCACAAAAAATAAGGCGTGAGCATATGAAGTAATAAAAAAATATGCAGTACTCAAATAACTATGAATTTTATAGTTATACAGTCAACTTATCAAAGTCACAACATACATTTTAAAATAAAAGTTTCCAAGAGTAGGTATTTTACAATGAAACTTCGATAACTTTCAAACGAAAATAATTTCTTAGTAGGTAACCTTAACAGGTGTCAACTTCCGCCCTTCACTCTACATTCAATCATATTTATTGTAAAATGATATAAAATACTTACGTAATCAGTAGTATTTAAATATTTAAACGCATTTGGACCAGTTTTAGCGTCACCGTTTTTTACTGACAAAAAAGTCTTCAAATCAAATGTTACGCGACGTCCAGTCATTGAAGACATAAAATGGAGCTTTCGTTACAAAAGGTCAAGAAGAGTTCTAATTTGGCAGAGTGTTAAGGCTGGTTTAGACTATAGACTAAGACACTATACCTACACGATACACTCAGTGTAAGTATATGTCGTAGGGAAAGTAGAAACGTGAAATAATAATTACATACTTACCCGGAGTATTATCATTGTCAATCGTCTCCTTTTCTTACAATATCATGATATTGTAAGAAAAGGACAGTTTTAAATATATTATAATTTCCCTAAGCATTTTCAGTGATATTGTAAATCAATAAAATATTGGCAATTTTACTAGATAACAAAAGCCGTTAAAATGTGAAACCCCACTGATTGGTCAGATTTAGACATCGTTTTTGTAATATTTCGTAATATTTTTAACTATTCATCATATATCATTCATAGGTTTATTAATAAGTATAATTAGTTAACAAAAAATTATCTAAACTTGCGATATATGTATGTGTTCAATAAAATATGACAACAGTTTTCACTCGTAATTTTTTGTATTACCGGCGATGACATAGTCGCATCACTATTTCAATTTTCATCAAATTTTTTCCTTGCCCACATTAATAAATATATTTCTTATTTTTTATTGTAAAGTTGAATACCACTTCCTGTGTATTTCACATTAAGAGTGTCAGTTTCGTACAATCTTTTGTCCCTTATTTTACCTACTCAGGGGATGAATTTCGACAAATTCTTTCTTATCGCATGCCTACATCATATAAGAAATACTTCCTCCAATTTTCACGTTTCTACGACCAGCGGCTGTGTGTTGATCTATCAGTCAGTCAGTCAGTTAGGACAAAGCATTTTATATAAATAAATAATAAATATTTTAGGACATTGACAAACAGCACCATCTAGTTCCATTGTAAGCTACGAGGCCTGTGTTATGGATACCAGATAGTTTATACACCACACATATATAACTTTAAATACATACATATTATACATATAAACAGCCATGACTGGAGTACAAACATTCGTGCTCATCACACAAATGAATACCCCCAGCGGGACTCGAACCCGCGATCGTTTGCACAGCAAGTAGGGTCACTACAAACTGAGCCACACGCGTCGTCAAAATTTTATATATTATATATTCGTTATTCGTATATAGATAAATAAGTTTGTACCTCATAAATAGTATTACTACGAGTATCCAAGTTAAATTTGCGGTTGAATGTGTGAAACGGAAAATATCTCATATCTCAAAAACTACCTACTCAATACACTTTCTTCAAAATAATTTTTGTAACAAGTATAGCAAGTATTTTGGACACTCGTGATCTCCTAGGACTGACTAAAATATGAAACATTTTTAATCAGTATAATATTTATAATTGGAACGTATTCGGCTCTTCATGTTCACTGTTCATGCTTATGTGCTGTGTATCAATAATATATTATATCATTGATCTAAATTCTAAACATATAAAAGTCATGTTCAACCAATCAAAATAATATGTATATTATATTAACGTTTAAAGTTTACAATATTATTATACTCAATTCAAAGACAATGGAAGCTACCGCGCTTGAATTCGCCACGAGAGGGCGCTAGTGTAGAATGAGGTCTCTAGAAATGTCAAATGGAACTGAACATTTACTGTTTGCGAGCTATTTATCGCGCATTTTCACTAATATTCATCACAAACGTATCCCACGGGAACCGTACATTTTCCGGGATGAAAAGTAGCCTATGTGTTAAATTCCAAACTATATAAAATCTATCTCTGTGCCAAATTTCATCCAGATCCGTCCAGCCGTCCTGGCGTGAAAAGGTAACAAACATCCATACTCACAAACTTTCACATTTACACGCCTCCGTGGTTAGGTTCCGAGAAATCAATTTTTAACTGACATGCCTATACGCAACCCTTGAAGCGATATTAATAATACGGATTATTGTAAAGATTATGCTATTTCTGAATAATTATGGTAGACTCGACGCGGTACAATAAATCTTATTGGTTTAAAAGAAGAGTTCAAATAAAGTGGATAGTTTATTTATTTATCATTATTAATTATTTAAAATCTTTTTTCCCGCTAACAATTATAATTATATAAATTTATTGGCCCTACCTGCCGCACTAACAAGTACTTTTCAACGATAGCGATAGGACCTCATTCAGTAGTGGCGCTAACTGGTGCCACCAGGAACGATAGTCTTCATTGTTTTTCTTATTGAACTTGTGTTTGAGTTCGTTCGTTCGTGATTATTTTTGTAAAAGTATTCAAAGTTACCCGAGACTTATATTTTTAAAATAGTAACACAATCACAAAGGTGCATAAGTAACTTACACTTTGATAATAATAATTTATATATTTTAATATTAAGTAGTTTAGTTTAATTTCAGTAGTTTCATTTTAACTCTTCCATTGGAATTAAAATAAAGAACACTATTTCGCATTTATAATAATGTAAATATATATAAGATTTAATAATTTAACTGCATTTAATTTTATGCTTTGTTAAAAAATTATTTACTTAAAATATTACGTAAAACGTGACATCCCCTCGTTTTCAACTATTCTGTTTCTGTCAATATAAATGTTGCTCAAATCTAGAAACAGATGTCGTTGTTTATGTTTTTCAATTTTGATTTCTAATTGACATGTCAGTTTGACAAAATTTAGTTAGAAGTGTTTTCTTTAGAATTACATAGCATTTCAGAATCGCTGAACGCGAAAACTTACTCGATTTCCTCATTTCGGGATGGTTTCTAGAGGCAAAGGGAGAAACAAAGATTAACGTGTATAACTTCAGTTACAGAATCGATTTTCCTGTGATGTGAAATTGTTATTCATTGTGCAAGAATGAATCCTATCGTTGGTCTTACTTCTTTCTTATTTTGTTTTGTAGCATTGTGTGAAGCATCGGGAGCAGATATAGCCCTTGATGCAAAAGCTACTCTTTTACACCGTATAGATAGCTTAAACCTTTTAATTTATACTTGCCTATTAACATTAACTGTTTTAACTATATGGGTATTTAAACATCGTCGTGTGAGCTGGCTCCACGAAACTGGTCTAGCAGTTATATATGGTAAGCTTTTTTTTCGAATATAAATATGATTAAGGCTAATTTCACATTAAATACATAGAGACCTTGAATGGGAGGTAGTGAGGCCTCTCCTAATAGATAAACTAATATTCTTCAACATATTTACATTTGCAATTAACAATAGAATTTCATGAACAGGACTTATAGTAGGAGCAATCATTAGATATGCTGGAAGTACTAACCAGGTTACACATATTGATGCACGTCCAGATCCTGATACCAAGTACAATTTATCGGTACCACCAGACATCTTGCGTTTCCACTTCCCTGACAAAATACAAATATCAACTGGAGGTAAAACAAAAACAAACATTTTACTGATCTCAAATTATTTGTATTATTATTTTAATTTAATATAAAATCCAAATGTTTTTCTAGATATACCTGTACCAAATAAAACATATGCATACAGTTTCCGAGGTGAAATAGTTAACTTGGAACAAAATGAAATCGATCTCAAGGCTACATTTGATCCAGAAATCTTTTTCAATATTATTCTACCTCCCATTATATTCCATGCTGGATACTGTCTTAAGAGAGTAAGTGATACAAGATAACATTTTTTCTCCATTCTACTTGACATTGGCGAAGTAATTTGTGCCCAATTGGCACTCCTGGAAGCCACGAAACAAAAGAATAGAATTATATTTTTTTATAAAACTATTTAAGAAGTAATAAGAACTAAAATATATAAATCATCATTTTTATTATACATATAAGAAAATAACCAATATTTTTTGTCTAAAAATTAAATTCATTAACTTATTAGCTTTTGTGAAACCATGCCACTTAACATAGCCAACATAACATTGCCTCTTAGATGATTTTAAAAAACTTTAATATTTATTTGTTTTCAATGAATTCCTAAGCCTGTATTTCTTTTTTATTCAAATAGTATATTTTTAAATTTGCTGTTTAATTTTTCTTATAATGTCTTTAGCTTTATTTGTGTTACAGAAATATTTCTTCCGCAATTTAGGTGCAATATTAACATTTGCCATGGTAGGCACAGCTCTCTCAGCTCTAGTCATTGGTTCTCTAATGTATGGATGTGTACAATTGATGCCTAAATCTTTAGCAGCAAGTTTCACTTTCTTGGACACTTTATATTTTGGCGCTCTGATATCTCCTACAGATCCATTGACAGTTCTTGCTATTTTCTCACAACTGAAGGTAAGAAAATGTTTTACATATTCTGAAATTTTTAATATAAAGAAATACAATAAAGAAAATAATTAAATGATTAATAATTTATCATCATATAAGATTAAATTTAAGTTGCATAACATTGAATGTTTGATTTACACAACAACAATAATAGATTGTGTTTACTGTTTATATGAAATTTTACTATTATACACAAACAATAAATAGACATTTCATAAAAACCATTTAAGCTACAACAAGTTTGCCTTTAAAATAAAGTCAACAATGTCTATGAAATATATATTGTATTTCTTTGAACAACAAAAACATTACAAATATGGAGATTAAAACAAAGTTATTTTTAAGATTTAGTCAGAATACATGAGAATTTGTTACTAACGATCACCTGACAGTGATTAAGCCGCTTAATGCTATCTTTGTTTCTAAGACACAAGTCAACAAAGATATAGATAATTATATTTTAATTGTGAAATATTAAATTAAAGCCCAATAAAATATTGACGTGTTTTGCATTTGAATGTGACCTTCAGAATGCTGTGACTTTAATAAGATAATATTTACTATGGTGAAGGTCACTGCTTCTATTTTCCATAAAGGAGAATATCTTTAATGATATTATAAAGATTGCATTATTAAAAATTAATGAAATAGTGCAAAGTTTAAAAAAATCAGCCAAGTGGAACTGTGGCAGGTTCCTAGTTTTTTTTTAGTATATCTTTTAAGCTATAATAATTATTCTGCTTATATTATTAACGCGAAAGTTTGTATGGACGTATGTTAGAAATATGTATATATTTTCCACTCTTTCTCGCAAAAATTACTAAACAGATTTTGATGAAGGTTTACAATAACACATAACATTTATATTTATTTATATAAGTTGTAACATAAAATATTAAATATTTATAATGGTTAATGTGACTATTTTTAGGTGGATGTAAATTTGTATGCAATGATATTTGGTGAGAGTGTCCTCAATGACGCAGTGGCGCTTGTACTGAGCGGGTAACGTATCTATTTATGTCTTGTAATAAATAACATTTTATGGTAGAGCTACAGGAAAATATAATGGAAAATTTTACTTTAGTTCGATTTTTGCCTTCTACTAATATTGAATATATTACGTAAATATATATATATGACTGTATGTAGATAGGTAACTATATAATATATATGTATGTATATGTATATAATATTATTTAAAATGTCAAGTATTCGCGTAAATCTAAGAAAGTATTATATAATAATTTATACACTATCTTGTTCTGCTTACACATTCTTTATATCCATGAAGGTTTAACTGCAAAAGTTCTTATTTAGGGATAAATCAATTTCTTGTATTACTATTTGATGCAATATAGTTTATATTTATAAAAACAAATACATATACTATATTGCATTAAATTTCTAGCTAAATAATTTTGTAATTTGAATTCGTTTATCGGTAATTTATATAAATAATACTAGCGACTTACCCTCGCTCCGCTCTGGATCGTCCCTATTGAAAATTTAGGTTTGTATGTATTTTTTAACGCCGAATCTTAAAAAAATTAAATAAAAAAAATTGTCAGAAAAAAAATTTTTTTTGGAGTGGACCATCCTTATCACTAAAGGGTATGAAAAATAGTTTTAAAAAAAATCGGTCAAGGCGTTTCGGAGGAGTTTTGTTATAAACACTGTGACACGGGAATTTTATAAATTAGATTAAAAATTACGATTTTACGAATAACGATAACAAACAGTCCTATTACATACTTCCATACTAATGATGATGTTCTCCCGACCGATTCCGGCCACGGCGGCCAATCTCATTGAGACTAGCCAACTGCGCAGGGGATATTATAGTGCACAAGTGTACGCGCAGACACAACGTGCACTCTCTATTCCTGTCACTCTCATATTCCGGTGGGACGACACGAGACACGACCAGTGAGAGTTAAGGCGAAGTACCGACGCCTTTACGTGCTTTCCGAGGCACGGGGGTGAAACACCGCCAACTTCCCAACTCCGGGCTGTTACTGGGGCTTATACAGAAAGATTCAATAACTAAACTTGGCCCGACCTGGGACTCGAACCCAGGACCTCCGGGTGTGCAGACGTACATGCTAGCCACTACACCACCGAGGCAGTTAATATTATAAATATGAAAGTGTGTTTGTTTGTTTGTCCTTCTTTCACGTGGAAACGATGACTGATTGGCGCCCACAATAACTCATACCCATGTATATAGTCTATCTATTCCATACAACGACCACTAAGCCCGAGTTGGGCCGAGTGGTCGTTGATTCCTATTAACCGTTAAAACGTACCTAGGGCCGAACGCGAGCGAAGCGACGCGGGTGAGTCGCTAGTATTTTATAAAGCTAGTATATTATATAATATACAAATAAATTTATGAATTAACATATTATTTAAATGAAGTATATTTATATTTAAATCCTAATACCATTATAATTTATTAATTATTTAAAATAATATGTTTTAAATGTTTTTTTATTATAAATGAGTTGCAATAAAACTTAGACTCTAATTGGTGACACAAAGTTCTTTATAAATTGCATCACCTTTTATCTTGGTCACAAACACCCGTTTTTCTACACACTTAATATGTATAATGACTATGAATAACAAAAACAAAAAACCCAACTGTGTATAACGAAAAAACATTCTATTATGCAGACGGAGATACATAGTACATACATATTTTATACTTCCTGCGACGCTTGCTTTCTTCGACATAGGTTTGATAATAATTAGATACATACTTCACTCGATAGATTTGGAAGAAAACTTTTTTTTTCAAACTGTCAAAATTAAAATCCGCCATTTTGTTTTTTGGCTATTTTCGTATAACCTATTACACTACTGTTGTTAAGCTACAGGTTAATAATTTATCAAAATCGGTTTAGCCGTTTAGTAATAACGAGGGAAAATAGCGTCCGACATACCTACAGGTCAAACACATAACCCTTATATTGAGCTTCGCCGCAGTCGGGTAAGGAACTTGCACGTGTTGTTTCACTACATACTGTCTGCGGCTTTACCTATACAGTATACACCCATTACTAAACGCTTATTATACTTAATCTATAATTATTAAACCTCGTGTCTGTGTGTTACAAGCTGCATTTTTGAATTTAATCATCCCATTAATATATTATAACAACTATGTTTTGTTTTCGATTGGATGATAAGTACATTAAAGACTCGTTTTATAATCCGTCTGGCATTTTTTGTTTGAAGTGCGATCAAAGAAACAGACTCGGACCTCTATTATAAATGTTGTAGTCGTTGGTCTAGTGGCTAGCGTGCAATCGTGGATTCGAGTCCCGGGTCGGGCCAATTATAGATATTGGGGTTTTATTGTATTGAAAAGTTATGTTCATCGGCCCTGCGCCTAATCTCTCATCGTTTATGTCGAATTGTCGTCTCACCGGCGTGAATATCGTTCATGAGGACATTATTATGAATGCGAAACTTTATATAGCGTATAAAATACATTTAGTCGTATATTGTTTGTACGTTGAAAAATCGAGACGCTTTTATTCATTTAGATAATATCTTATTTATTTCAGTGCCATTCAAAACTATGAGAAGAGGTACTCAAATGACGGTGGATTTGAAATTACCGCATTTCTAGCGGCTATCGGAGATTTCATTGGGATATTCAGTCTGTCTCTACTCATCGGCGCCTTCATGGGATGCTTGACTGCATTGATATCCTTTTTATTAATAAATTAAATACGAAATTACATAGCATAGTAAATAAGTTAATGGCTAATATGGCTTTAAATATTTTATATAGATTCTAGAAAATAGTCTATAATGTCGATAGTATTAAGTGTATTACTATCTGTTCTGTAGTATATCGATACTCAGGGCTGCCAGTAGAGACAACAGACAAGCCAGTAAGCCAACTTACGAGTATTTTATACCGGTGGGTCACTGAAATTATACCAAACCAAATTTTATTATACAAATTTGTTAAAAAAATTGTTATTGAGAAATAGTCTGTGACGAATAAAAAATTTCAACAAAAATACGTAATAACTTAAAATGAAATAAATATATATAAAATAACCAAATTTCGCAATTTTCTTATCCAATTACACGACCTGGCAGCCCTGTCGATACTATCGAGATTATCGATAAAACTAAAAATATTATGAAGGATTTAAAATGGACACTTGAAAAGATCGATAACTATTTTTTTGGCTAACGTGGTTTTAAGTCAAGTAACAACTAATAATCTACTATACAATATGTAGGTACTTTGATTTTTCTTAGGCATTTTTTTTTATAAAAATGAAGAATGAATGGAACGTTGCGAATAATTGCCTTTTTATAATACTGACAATAGGGTATAGAATAAATATGAACATAAAATTCATCGCTATGCTTCGGTATGTCTAACTCTTATATAGTTTCGTACATACCTTGAACGGCAATATTATCGTTAAAGCAATACATAAAATTTATGTTTAATTTTACTTTATACTTATTGTAACCTATTTCTTTCTACATTGAAATAAAACTTTTTATAGCTGTGTTACACAGTACAGTTTTATATTCTACTAGCAACTTAACTTCTCTTCGTTCGGGTGCGTCCCTGGGTGCGCGGCTTTTCTTCACCAATTCATAGGTTTTAATTTTTTTACGCGGACCCCTAATTCTTTTTCTAAAAGAAAAGTAGCTTAAGTTACTCCTTATAACTTCAATTATCTTCCAATGAAAGTTCCGTCAAAATCGGTCCAGCCATTTTGGAGATTAGCCGGAACAAACAGACACACAGACAAAGATTTTAAAAGTTGTTTTTTTTTGTCTTGTAAGTACCGTATATACTTTCATATGCATTTAGTAAAAAGTTATTATTTTGATGTGGGGCCGTTCATAAAATATGTTCGCATACAGGTGAAGGGGGTGGCCGTTGGGGGTTTTAATTTTTGTGACAAAATATGTTTAGGGGGTTCACAGAAAGTGTGACACAATGTGACAATAGGGAGGGAGGGGGTCAAAAAAGTTGATGTTAGCGTGACGTATTTTATGAACGATGATTATATTACAAACATAATGAAACATGAATAACAAAGATTTGGTCAGATTGTCAGATTTGGTCTGGGCAGCGATAAGACAGTCGTGTGAAGTAATGAAAGCAAAACTAGTTAATATACATATAACTACATATTATTTCAAGTATACGTAATATTTTTGACAAAATACTATCAAAAGACTGAAATATAATGAAGGCACATGAATTCTATCGAATACGTTGAAACATAATTATAATTAATGAGAATATATATATATATATATATATATATATATATACGTGTGTGTGTGTAATACTAGCATTGCCCGCGGCTCCGCCCGCGTTCAGACCAAAAACCAAACTTTCTTGTATTGCAGTTTTTGTATTTTTCTCTGAAATGAGATATTTTTCTGCTGTAAAAAGTATCCTATATGTTGACCCGGATAACCAGCTATCACCATAGCAAATTTCATCAAAATCCCTCCAGTGGTTTTTCTCGGTAACAGACAGACAGACAAGCAGAAATTCTAAAAACTAGATTCGGCCTCTGTATCGATAATAATGTTTATTTCAATAAGATTTTCCAAAAAATATCTAATGTACAGATTCGGCTTAGTTACAATTTTATTATATGTATAGATGATATACGTCATTGTTATTTAGTTACTAAGGTAAAACTTATTTAGAAATTTGATAATGCTAAATATAAAACTTATATTTCAATATTTCCTTAACTAAGTAACACATGACGAAGTTTACCCACGTACGGGACTGGCCGCTGCTCGAGTCTGCTCTGTTTGTGCTTATGTCGTATGCCGCTTTCCTCATAGCTGAAGTATGCGAGTTAACAGGTACATACTGGTTTGCACTATCTTTTATTTTGTTTTTGTATATATATATATATATATATATATATATATATATATATATGTAGTGCAATCTTCCGATATAACCATCAATTTTACTATTTATGGAAGTTTATCTCATTTGGTGACATTTGCGATTCCTGCTTTGATATAGCCTATAGCCTTCCTCAATAAAAGGGCTATCTAATGCAAAGATAAATTTTCAATTCGGATTAGTAGTTCCTGAGATTAGTATAGATTACTCAATAATATTATTTTTATGTTGGGTAAGAACCAGTTTGGAATGAATAGGTATTCCTTAGAATGATTTTTCGGACGTTTTAACTATCGCATCCATTCAAATCTTTTAAATATGTCACATGTGAATGTATTAAATTAAATACTCGTAAGTAGTAATCTCATTTTATTCTCTCAAAAATTGAACTCTTTAATGGCTACAAAAAACCTAAAACCCTTGAAAAATTTTGATTCGTTTTAAGAGTTTCACCTACTACAGTTCCTCAGAAACGTGATTTATTTTTACTCGAATACGCCAAAAGGAGGGTTATGGTTTTCGAGTGTATGTATGTACAGTATGTACATATATGTTTTTGGCACGCTCTGTAGCCTATATAGCTTGATAGATTTTAGCTTGAGAGTTGTCGTTAGATTCGTCTTAATTATGAGAGTGCCGTTGGGTATATCAAAATTATAAAAATTGAAATGGCCGATTTTCGGCGCTATATTATGTCTTCAAAATTTTTTTTCCGCAAAACCTATCGAGTGGAGTATTAAAATCAAAGGTTTTATAAATGGCATTAAAAATTTATATACAACTTATACCTATGTTTAAATATAATTTGGAATGAGAAACGCTAATAAATAACAAATTAAAAAAAAATTACAAAAATAAAAAACCCGACTACGTAAAAAGCGAAATAAAAAGATGAAAACAAGTTTACCAAGGAACATAGTATTAAGCAGTCGGAGACATACGTACACGCAGGTATTATAAAACATGTATATATAATATGTATGTACCTTCGTCAATATGTTTTCATCTTTTTACTTCGTTTTTCACGCAGTCGGGTTTTTTGTTTAATTTTAAGCTATAATAGTTCTTTATAATATCTTGTTAATTATGATATTTTAATCAATATAATTCCAGGTGTTGTAGCAGTATTATTCTGCGGTATATGTCAAGCGCACTACACTTACAACAACCTTTCCTCGGACTCTAGGAACAGGACCAAACAATTGTTTGAGCTACTCAATTTTCTCGCTGAAAACTTCATTTTCACATACATCGGTGTTTCGATGTTCACTTTCCCGAAACATCACTTCGACCCCTGGTTCATTATCGCTGGATTTGTATCCTTTTTTTGTATATAAACCTGTTCTAAAATAGCTGCGCGTCCCATTATTTTAAAAGGTGACCTTGAAAAGTTTAATTAATGCTATTGACGTTAATCTCCTGGTCTCTTTAAATACCTGTTTGTGAAGTATTTTAATTATTTTCTTAAGGGCAATACAACACAGGAATTTATTTGATAAGATAAAGTGGAGGCTATTCAGCTTTGGCTCAATAGTACCTCCACTTAATCAATTTGTGCATATTAAAAATATTTTTTTTTTTGCTTCGTAGACTTAATGAATAAGAATGAGATAAATATTAATTATTACATATGATAGCTAATGGCAATTTCTGATATGGATTTCTCGATAAAATTTTTAGATTAACATATTTTGTCTATGAAAAGTGTAAATTGAGTAAAAAGTTTAAATTATTATTATTTTTTATGTTTTTTATAAAATAACAAATGTTCATCTTTTACTGTCTCTAAACGGTGTAAAATCTGTTAGGATTGACGAGATTTTGACGTATAGATGATTTGTGTAGAGAGAAAGTGCCTTTTTATCCTATTTGTAATTATTTTTATTCTCAAAAATTGTATATTAATTTAACTAATACATACATATATAAAATTTCCCTTATTCTTTAAAGAAAGTAAACGATCTGTATGGCAAAATCAGTAGCAAATCAGTAATCACGCTACTATTTTAGACTTTGACATTTATTTTGGCAGATTCCGTATAAATAATTCGTTAGTCTGAATCTCCAGCATGTGATTAGTAATTAAATAATAAAAGTAATATTTTCTTAACGAACAACAGCTAACGTCAACTTTAGGCCGCGCGGTGAACATCTACCCGCTGTCGTTCCTTCTAAACCTGGGAAGGAAACCACCGATACCGATAAACTTCCAACACATGCTTTTCTTTTCCGGTGAGTTACTAAAAGAGACCTATATAATATAAATATACTTAAAAAGTAAAACCTTATCTAAAAATTTGATCCAAATCGTTAGGACGGTTTCCGAGAGGGGTAGAATTTGTAGGTTATAAAAACAATAACATGTTACTTTTTTGTATTACAGTGAAAGTTGAGTAGAAAATGACTATATTCGCCAATTCTTGAATGTTTTTAAAGGTGATTAGTCGAAAAAATTCAGTGGGCCACCTGAAAATGTTCAGTAAAACTTTTTTATTTCAAAAATTTAGTTTTTTTATAAACTGAAAATTCTACCCCCAAGCTAAGAAAAAAAAAACATTAAATGGTTTTTCGCTCCATCCTAACACATATGTATATACAAGAATTGCTCATTTAATAAATAAATAATAAATATGTTGGGACATTAACACTACATATATATAACTTTAAATACATACATATAACTAGTGACTCACCCTTGCTCGGGTTCGTCCCTAGCTTGCTTCCCAGTACAAATTTTCATCCCCATTTTGTTCCCCTTAAGGGATGATTTCCGGAATAAAAGGTATCCTATGTCCTTCCTAGGGTTTCAAACTATTTTCTTACCAACGAACCACTTTTTCTTACCAAATTTCATCTAAATCGGTTCAGTAAATCCAGAGATTACCATTTACAACGCACACAACACAAACTCACAAACTTTACTTCTTTATAATATTAGTATAGATAGTACGTATAGATAAATTAATATTAAAAGATATACGTGTATGTAATATGTATGTATACTGTGTGTGTGATATATGTGTACTCGTGCCCGGGGCCAGGTCTCCGCGGCGCGATGTCGTTCGCGCTGGCCATCCGCAACACGGTGTCGGAGGCGCGCCAGGCGATGCTCACCACCACGTCGCTGATAGTGATCGCCACCGTGGTGCTGCAGGGCGGCGCCGCCTCGCACGCGCTCGCCTACCTGCGCATACCCACCGGGTAACTTCGATACATAGTATACAACGAAGTCGCTTGTCGCTGTCTGTCTGTCCCTATGTATGCTTACATCTTTAAAACTACGCAACAGATTTTTTTAATAGATACAGTGATTCAAGAGGAAGGTTTATATGTATAATACATGCATATTATAGTACATGCATATTATAGTTGAATATATAAGTCTTTAAACTTTTATGGTCATTCACTACATTACTACGAGTAGTATTTCTACGTACTGTAGATGTCGCGAAAGCAACTGCATTTTAAAGAGCTATTCTGCTCATCACGTCTAAGATCCTCATCAGATCTTAATCTTTACGCTTATATGAGACCAACTTAAAGTTACTAGCCTTCAAATAAAAAAAGAACGAAACGAACGAACGAAGAACGAACGAGAAGTGGAGATATCCAGTAGCCCTTTTTTGCCCCTTTTTTGGAGGAAGTATCCGTCCCTCCAATCAAAAATCCCCGACAACAAAAAAAAAGTCTATAAAATCGTAAAACCTGTGTCCAGATTGGTTGTATTTGTTCCCGCCCATTTTGTAATCTCCGAAACGGCTGGACTGATTTTGACGAGACTTTCACTGGCAGATATCTGATGTTATAAGGAGTAACTAAAACCTTTTTAATTTTAGAAAAAGAATTAAGGTTTCGCTCAAAAAAATTAAAACGTACCTAGGGGACGCACCCGAGCGACGCGAGGGTAAGTCACTTGTAATATTTCAAAGTGTTCATTATTTTATTAGTTCTTATTATATCTTTACAGTCAAGGCCAGAATGACGAAAACGAAGCTCTACCTTACCGTGACGTGAGAAGTGTAAGTATTATTTGTAAATATAACAGTTTATAGCTAAATTAAATTTTTCACACTATTCTGCACCAAAGGTTTCTGTAGTTTTTGATCACGATATAATAGTTAGCTTTTAAATATAATTGCACAAGACGAGGTTAAATTAGAAGCTTGATATTAACTATATTATTTTTAAAGATATTTTATTGATAAGAAAACAAAGTCTTTTAACCTGTGTGTGAGTGAGCTGGTTAAAAATCTTTACTATACTAATAGTTTATTATATCAAGTTGGGGTCAAATTGTGAAAAGTATCTCGTAAGTGCTTAAGAAAAATAAGAGTTAAATTTTATATAGAAGAGATGAAACGGATATCCGGTAACTATCCGGTATCCGGCCTTATTTTGCTATCCAGCCGGATACCAGATAGTTACGCATACGGTTTGGTATCGTATATTTATAAAGTACGATTTTTTTCTTTAATAAACTTCAAGATAAAAATAAAAATATCCGTGAGACATATAAAACAAAATAATCAAGCAAATAGCAAGGTGCTGAAAGGTACACGCTGGCATACTTTGGCATGGTCAAAGTATTGCGTGTGTGCTTCAAGTTAACCGTCCACCAACTATAAGGGCCACAAAATGATTAAGCAAGTAAACAAATTGACTTTCGCTACTACTGACTAATTCATGATGACATCTTAATACGCCTAAATACTTACGATATCATATGCACTTGTCGTAACATACAACAAGACAACGGGCTGAATATTGGGCCGCCATATATGCGGCCATTCGGACTTACAGCTCGCCGGATATCCGGCCAACCTGCCCCACAACTCGCGGGGTTTCCGCTATCCGGCCAAACAACTATCCGTTTCATCAATTTTATATAGTATCTAAATTGTACATGTTATTTAATACCTAATAATTTGCAATACGAAGTTTGTTACTAATATTAATATTATTCTTTCCTTTTTATACGGTCTTTACCTACCTTACGTTTCTTTACAATTTTATGTCAACTTGATTTCTTTATTCTGATTCTCTTCTTACACACAATAGAGATAACGATTTTGGCTTTATGATTTTGTTTCTGTTTTGTTTATTGCTTTTAATGTTCACTTATATCCTAATATGAACAGTCATCTATCTATACCTACATTATTCTATTTTTATTTTATTCGCCTCGTCTTCCATATTCTTATTCATTTGTTTCTAACTGCCTATTTATATGCTAAGTAGAAAATCAGCAAGGTTCTTCACTCAATAGTGCGACATCAGAGAATTAACAAGTACCCTCAAATTCTGTAAATAATAATTATAATTTATAAATAACAATTATTTTTCTATTATTATTTATTTAATTCAATTACATTAATATTTTAATAATAACCGTCAAGTTTTGAGAGGTATTTGATGATTCTTGGTCGCACATTAAATCCTGCTATTTTGTATTACATATTAATATCGTAATTATACATTTTTTGTAAGTAAACGTAAAAAATGCATTTTGAGCGTAATTTTTACGGAGGATGGCAGGTTTTAATAGAATCAAGCTAGCTGTGCGTACATACAGTACTGCGCATGTGATTAATAAGAAATTATTGTGGCAGCTGTACCAGGCCACGGATTCGGGCAGACCGGTATGTATATACAAGAACACCTCAAGGCTTTTTAGTGTCCCATCCATTTGCTTTCATTTCTCATATATATGTGTTTATCTCAAATATTTAGCCATTTCTCAACCTACTCGATAGGAATGGAAAAATTGACATATGTGTTCAAGCATATCTAATTTCTCGACTAGTGGGAAATGGTCACTGTTCTATTTGAGATACATTATTTAATATAATACATACCACCTTTTACTTCATATTACTAATTTTCGTTTTCATTGTTGTTTGTAACGAAGTGTATGTGCTATAAACACTCGAGTGGTATGTATTGGTTTTAACTCTAAATGTCAGCCGCAGTAAGAGTTAATGATAAAGGACTAAAAGTTTTATTTTTCTTTAGTTACTGATTTTTAATATGTCAGCGATTGATAATAATAATTGATCATAGTAGGGTATAGTTGTATTTAAATAAATTTATCAAAATAGCTGCGGTTTATTTATTTGTACAAAATCACATAGGTTAACGCAAGATGGCACTTATATGCCCCATTGGGTGATAATACTGGTTTTAATTATTTAAATATAACTCGCCCCCTATATATTATTTTAAATCAACCATTTTTGTCCTATATTGTTACCTAATTGCTATAAATATGTACGTCCTACGTCCATCTCATTAACTGCCAAGCCTTTGCGTTATTTAGACTGATAGCTCATATTTGTTGTTTAGCCAGCAGAAATAAGTTTCGGGCTCCGAAATATGGACGCAAGTCAATCGCCCACTAGCGACAGGGCATCTGTAAGAAAAAAAAACTTGTATGCATGAACTATATCAGTACTAAGTACACATGGCTGCCACATAACGGCAATTTATTAATAGCATGATTGGCATCCTGTCCAGGCATTGTTTTAATATTTCAATATATTCTAAGGTTCAATGTCACGTGCATGATTTTTTTCCCTACACAACTTCCGGGCGATGCTCTAATTAAAATTCTTCTTTCCAGCTTTACTTACACAAGGTTGAAACGAAATGTCTTTTTTGTTATATTTATTTATGAAAAATACTCAATAAAATATATACTTTTATTTGAGATTGTCGAGAACCAAAAAGACATTTTGATAATATCGCATTAACAACACATGTTGCATGTTACTTTATTTTTTTTTTTATTTATTTCAATGTCTAGAATGGCCGCATGGTAGTTAAGTGGGGGAAAGACGAAAACGGAGTGATTATGCCTTGGCAACTAAACTCTTACGAAGTATGTAAATTCTGGTACCTTTAATATTTTCACCTTTTTGTGTGTCGATTGTATCAAAGGGGCGTGATCTGGCGAGAAAAGGCAATGCATGCCTATACTATATATCTAACGACATTATTAACGATATAACAAAGAAATAAAATAAATAAATACAAAATTATCCGTAGTGTAAGCAATTAAAGATTACTTTTTGAATGTCACATTTATGTTGTTGGATATATTTTTTTTAATTTAGGCATCGTGCGTTTGACAGAATACTGTGAAACTTTAAGATAATGAAAACAAATGTACAATAAAAGTTTATGTTCTTGCAACACTTTCTTGAACTACTGCTGAAATATTAACATGCAACTTAACTTTCTGAATTACTAACAAAGTAACCTCTAAAAATATTAATCATGTAGTAATACCACAGTCTAATAATCCATACAGTCGTCTAACGAAGGCGTCTAAATACGTGTTTAGTGTGGAGCGGTGGGAGACGCGGGTGAGGCGATACCGAAAGTCATACTCACTTGCTTGCATGACATTCGGGAAAAAGGTTTTAGGGTTGACAGGTATAACTGTAACTTGCCATTACATAATATTACAGTGCTTTAACTTCGAAACCGTTCATTATTAAAATTTGTATTTTTTTGACAATCCTAACATTTCTGTTTTCATTAAAACGAATGGGAGGTCGCCTACTGTATGGATTTTCATACTGTAATCACACAAAAAATAAAAAGAATATATACAAACTAGTATCAAACAAGGTTATCTGTAACTTGCCAAGACATGGTATTACAGTGCTTTGACTTCGAAACCGTTCGCCATTAAAATTAGTATTTTTCGACAACCCTAGCATTTCCGTTAAAATTAATAGTCGCCTACTGTATGGATTTTTATACTGTAAACAAACAAAAAATAAAAACAATATATACAAATTAGTATCCAACGAGGTATGTTTGGACCAGGACACCCCCCACGGCAACGGGGAGGGGGCCGAGAAGGCGCGGCTCGCCCGCCTGTGGGGGGCGCTGGACTCGCGACTGCTGAAGCCGCTGCTGACGCACGCGCGGCCGCCGCTCACGGAGACGCTGCCCGCCTTCCTGCGCCCGCTCGCCAGCCTGCTCACCACGACACGCCAGTACACGCAGGGCGTAAGTGTATGGGATCATTATACTTTAATAATGTAATACATTCTTAGATTTACGCGAATATTTGATATTTTAAATAAAACTATCTTTCGCGGATTTATTTTGATTTTTGGTTCCCGACTTTACTAATGTTTATAACCTGCAGGAGTAATATTATCACACTATGGTTATAATTATAATAAATAAATATACGAGTATGTTAGGACATTAACACACAGCACCATCTAGTTCTGTGGTAATCACCATCTAGTGTTATGGATATATATATATATATATATATATATATATATATAAACACACATGACTGGAGTACAAACATTCATGCTAATCACACAAATGAATGCCCCCAAACGGGACTCGAATCCGCGACCCTTGGCACAACAAGTAGGGTCACTACAAATTTACCCAAAGTGTATGGAAATTGGAAACATTATACTTTACTAATGTAATACTTTCTTAGATTTACGCGAATATTGTACATTTTAAATAAAACTATCTTTTCGGATTTTTTCGCGGATGTATTTTGTTTTGTTGACTTTACTAATCTATCTTTACTAATGTTTATAACCTGCATGAGAGTACGTGAGTATTTCTATTGCTCCTTCAAATTAAAAGGGCCGAATTTGGATGAAATTTACCTAAATTTACCTTGAACCTAGGGACGCTTCCTAGGTGCGAGATTATAAATATAAAAAAAAATATACATATTTATTTTCGTACATAAATAGCAAATGATAATAAAAACCTATTGTTATGTTTATTTCACTAGGAACATATGCTGTTTCAGGATAACGGCCTCCGACGGACCGATTCTGACTCCGACCTTTGTATTGACGAACCACAACCAGTTCCAACCAGTATTGACCCACAGGTATATTTGTAAATGGTTTTGCTGTCTCCTTTAATGTACATACAAAAATGGACTAATTTACTTAGATGTTTAATAAATTTATACTTTTACATAGAACAATGTGACATGAAATATGAATAAATTGTTTTAATTGCCAGCTTAAAAGTTAGTGCCACTTATCATGTACTTACAATATGAATTGAATTGTCTTCAATTGGTGGAAATAGTACTTTTTTGCCTGTTTTCAGAACTAAAACGAGACAGATACTAAATACTTTATTGTCAGTGAATAATTTATAAACATTGTACAGATTAACTAATTATTATTTATATAATTAGCCAAATAATTGAAATAAAATTAATTTATTTAATAACAATTCTTGTATGTATAAAGTAAAACAATGGCTACGATGATACTGCAAAAAAAATTGCGTTACAGATATCAACGTCCGCCTCCATACAATATTTAAACTATTTAATAAAAACTGAATAATAATAAGATGTTGATAATATATCAAATAATTGAATTGAATTCAACGCCACAGACTAAATAGTGACAATCAGTGGTTAGTTAGTTCTGCGAAATTCGGGTGAAGGTTCTGTTCACCGCTAATATCATTTTAAATAGATTAAACACGTAAATTAGTAATAGCATTTGTCCCCCCCTAATATCTTACATAGCAGTTCAACTTTACTGCCTTGCTAGTGCATATCACATACAGCTAGCTAAATGTTTGTATTTATAACTAATTTGCAGTATTAGTGTGTTTGTTGGAAGGCTGGCTAGTATGTTCGAAATGTTCCTGAATTGGCATCTGAGCATGTTATTATTATTTTATATATAGTCACTCTGTAAGTAATCTTTGTAAATTTATAGGTGACCTTGTAAATATTAAGCATATTTTTTTATATATGTTAAGTATTCAGCAACTAATTCCAAAAGCGTAAGATCAAAACCAGTCCAAAATGGTTATGCAACTTTTTGGCATCATTTCTTTTTTTTTTTTGTCTTTTGCCTAATGAATTTTAGAGAGATAGAATTACAAGACTAAATAATAGTATAAAGTCATAGAAAACATAAAAATGGATCCACGTGTTACCTCCCATCCAAATGTTATAGCAATAATTAATAGTTAAGTAAAATAAAGTATTTATTTAAAAACTAGTGACATACCCTCGTTTGGTTCGGGGCATCCCTAGATAAGTTTTTTTTTTTGAGTGGAACCTTTTTAATTCTTTTTCTAAAATAAAAGTAGCCTAAGTTACTCTTATATCATCAGCTATCTGCCAGTGAAAGTCCCCTAAAAATCAGTAACCTTTATAAGTTCAGCCATTTCTGAGATTAGCCGGAACAGACAGACAGACAATAATTTTAAAAATTGAGTTTTTCTTGGAAGTACCGTATATTAATTCATATGCAGTAAAAATTTTGGCATTACAAATGGACACTTCAATTTTATTTATCTGTATAGATTAAAGCCTGCTAAAAAGGAATAGTAACAAAAATTTTAATAGACTCGTTACATAGTCTTGTAAATATAATCTTAGTTTCATTACGGCAAAGAAAAAAATGCCACCAGTCATTTTACATATAACATTTTCCATACAAAAGGTTGCGTTTTTGTTTCTTGTGCAAAACAATAAATCAAATCAACAGCCTATAATTCTTTTGAAGCTACAATATGAATATACTTCTTTGTTTTTATTCTAATAAACCTCCTTTACTTTTCGACAGCCAATTCAGAAATCGTTTTAACTACTAGCTTAACACACTGTACTGTTTTGTTAATGTTTGTAGCTACTCAGGATGATTTTATTTTTCTTTGGTTGCAGCTATCTTATAATATACGGAATGGATATGGAAATGTTTGAGACTTGTAGTGTTTGTGATCATCGGCTGTGAACTAAGGTGTAGAAGTATAGATGTACCTAGAAGTTAATTTGTTTTGGTTTCATAGGAAAATTATTATTTTTTTATTATTGCACGCAGCAACTGTGGCCCGGACTTGTGGATACAAGAATCTCAGTAGAAGGTATCACAGGAAGTAACATTTAATAAGTAGCAAAATTTTATATTATGCTCTTTGTGCCACAATATCATGGAAGAAATGCCACTTTCAGAATTTAAATATATTTTGCTTTTTTCTGATTGATGTAGCCTCAATGTTAAGGGTCCTTGTGAGACTAGTGTAAGTAGTCGGCCATGTGCTACTCTTTAGTATTAACAGCTTTGTAATTATTCGCTTATTAAGAATTATAGTGACTTAAATCATAATTTAACTATTTTAAATATGTAGTTCCTTAAAAGCTTTTTTTTAACCTTAACAGAACTCTAATATTAGTATTTAATATTAAAAAAATCATATTATTGACTGCTTTTAAAGTAAAATTACATATGTGTATTAATAATATAATTATAAATTTTTTGTGTCACTACAATTCTAAAGGCGATATTATGTAATTTTGAGTTTGTATTATAAATGCTTTTATAGCTAATCGCACATACAGGTCATACTTCAACTGTACTGTGATTGTTTTGCACCGAAAATGTAGTATACATGTATATATATATATATAACCATTTCTACCCACCAATAAGGTTGGAGTTTGTGTGAAAATTACTATCAAATCTTTATTACTATGAATATTTCAAGTGAGGCACTCTAAACATTTAAAACAAAGTTTTGGAGTATCATGTGTTACCTAAATAATAATAATAATATCCAAAACAGTAGGTAATTTGATGATTTATAATATTTTTTATGTACCTAATAGTATTATGTGCTTGTATTTCTATTTCTACTTTCAATGTACTTTAAACTTGCTCATTGTGATATCTTATCTATACATATAATAAAATTGTAACTAAACCGAATCTGTACATTAAATATTTATTTGTAAATCTTATTGAAATAAACATTATTATCGATACAGATGCTGAATCTATAGTTTTTAGAATTTTTGTCTGTCTGTTACCGCATCACAGAAAAACCACTGGAGGGATTTTGATGAAATTTGGTAAGATGATAGCTGGTTGTCCGGGTCAACTTAAAAAATACATTTTACCGCGGAACAATATCTCATTTCTGAGAAAAATACTAAAACTGCATTGTAAGAGTATACTAATATGTAAAACCTAAGAATTTGGTTTTTGGTCATCTGAACGCGGGCGGAACCGCGGGCAATGCTAGTATAATATACACTGTTTAACTACACCACATGCAACATTCATGTAATTTTTCTTGTTGTTATATATTTCTCAGACAATAATACTTTGTCATTTTAGTTTTGAATTTTCAACTTTAATATAAATTTTACACAAATTCAACAAATTAGATATAGTCTAGTCCATTTTTAGTGCATGTTATAAACATCTTAAGATTATTCAATTGGCTCTCCATTAAATGGGTCTGGATGAGATAAAAAGTTTCTTGAAGGGTTGTAATTATATATTTTAATTTCGTTTTTTTTTCGTGATTTTATAAAAATATATTTGAAATGTTGGTTTGAAAAACCTTTCGAGTGCTCAGACACATTTACATGACTGCAATGTTTTTTCTTATTATAGTTGATACTTCACAAATATGACTTATTATAATTTCCTTTCTAGATATAAGGATTTGTAAATCACAATACTAATTGTGTGATTTAGTTAAATGCTTATTTTCCTATATATCTTTTGGAGATATGTAAAAAAATGCTGTATATCACTGAATTTTAACTGGAACAAATTGATTCTTATACTTATATAATGTGTAATAAAATTTCTCTCTGAATAAGTTTTTCATTCCATACCCCATATTATATGAAAGAATTTTTTATTGATATTTAAACATTTTTTGACTGTTTGGAATTAACTAAAACAGATTTATGTAAAAAAAAACACTTTTAATTAACAAACCTAACAAAAATACATATAACAAAGATAATTATAACTAAAAATGATTTAATACTTATCTAATTATCACACTGTGTATCAAGACACTGTCTTATTTTATTAGTAACTTTAAATTTTGGTCCATGTCCTGGTACAATCCAATCAGCTAAATTGGCAATCTTGGACCTATTCTTTCTTTGTTGAATTGGGTCTTCACTGCCAGCATCCAGCCATATGTTTTGGTCTTCTATATCTTCAAACTTTTCAAAAAGATCACCTTAAATAAAAAGTAAGCTTGCTGGAATACAAACATTTTTGCTCATCACACAAAAGAATGCTCCCAGTGGGACTCGAACCTGCGACTACTGGCACAGCAAGTATGATCACTGTAAACTGAGCCAAACGTGTTGTCTACAAACATGAACGAATTAGAGACATTCGTTCATGTCTACAAACTAAGATTGTTAACGATAATATAATATATGAAATTAATAAAAGCATTTATAATATTAAAAATGTTGTTACCCTTTGTGTTTGCATTTCATATCTAATATATTTAAACGAGCAATTCTTGTATAATCTAAATCTTGGAAATGGCTCCAACGATTTTCACGAAATGTAGTACACAGGGGGTTTCGGGGGCGATAAATCGATCTAGATTAGTCTTGTCTGGGAAAACGCGTGTTTTCGAATTTTCATGCTGTTTTCTTTCGCATTATTGCACAAAAGAAAATATGGTCAATAATTACGCACGCTCAGGCATACGCATCATGTTCAAGCGGCCAAAGCGCAAGATCGACAATCATAGATGTCCGTCCGGGTTCGAATCCCGGTCGGATATAAAGTTTTTACTATTGTTTTTTTTTTATATTATTTATTCAAGTTTTTAGTTTAAAAAAAAAAAAAAAATTTTACTTTAGGCCAAAAACATTGAGCGAAGCTCCGTAGCCCAGATTCTATTTTAAAAAAGAGATGTCTTCTCATTATTCTTTTGATTTAGTTACATAATTGAAATGACTAAGTTTTTGAATCACTCACCTTAATGTAAAATCTATTCAATCTTTTTTATATCATTTATGATCAAACAATATATTTTACCTGTTATAGCAACCGTTTCTTTCTCTGCATTAACTGCTAAAACAGTAACGTCCGTGAGTGTATGCCCAGGTGTTGGTATTATTTTTACATAATCATTTATTATGTATTCCTCACCTGTAATATTATATTAATTTTATTACAATAAAAACTATATTTATAGTTAAACATTTATTTATTTAGTATGAAACTATACCTTTATCAAATGGATAATTATAATAACTATCTTCATAGGATATGCTAAAACCGACTATATGCTTCGCTTTAAGAAAAAGATGATTGTTCCCAAGATGATCAGAATGACCATGTGTTGACACAACATAATTTATATCATCTGCACTGATGTTTTCCTTTTTTAATGCTGTAACACAAAGTACCTACTTATCAAACAATACAAAATTAAATATTGATGAAATTTAATTAAAAAACCCCCAACGCAATAGCCTATTATATGCAGAGCTAATAGCCTGCAAACGGCTGAATGGTTTTTCTTTATTTATAGCTAAGAATACCCACTACATATTACTACAATACATCTTTCAAACACAAAAGTTTAATTAAAACCAGTTCATCTGTTTTGGCACTGAAGTGACAGACAGACACACATGTGAAACTTATAACACCCCTCTTTTATGTGGGGGGTTAAAAATAAGCTGTGAATGGTTTGCATTAAGTATATAAATACTGTCCTGGACTGCTTTAGACAAAGCATTCAGGAAGTCTTCTCAACATAAATACTATATGAACATTAAGTAACAGCAGAAATCAAGTGATTACTAAATATTATAACTAACTAACTGCCTCGGTGATGTAGTGGCTAGCATGTACGGCTGCACACCCGGAGGTCCTGGGTTCGAGTCCCGGGTCGGGCCAAGTTTAGTTATTGAGTCTTCCTGTATAGTAAGTCTCAGTAACATCCCGGAGTTGGGAAGTTGGCGGTGTTTCACCCCCGTGCCTCGGAGAGCACGTAAAGCCGTCGGTCCTGCGCCTTAACTCTCACCGGTCGTGTCGAGTGGTCGTCCCACCGGAGTATGAGAGTGATAGGAATAGAGAGTGCACTTGTGTCTGCGCGTACACTTGAGCACTATAATATCTCCTGCGCAGTTGGCTAATCTCATTGAGATTGGCTGCCGTGGCCGGAATCGGCTAGGAGAACATCATCATCATCATCAAATATTATAAAGCTATATGATAAAAATAATTTATACTCATATCCATTATTATTAATATTTATATAGTTATACTTAAGAAAACAAACTAACAAGATATTATTTTATTGGAATCCCAGGGTGTCATGGTGTCTATTATAATATTATGGATGCCACGGACAAGAGTACAGGTACAATTTGCTTTCATTTCTTGTTTATTTTTAACTATAGAGTATCCATCAAAGAGGACATTAATATCACACATGACTATTATCACAAATATGATTTTGGTTATAATAATAGGTAATTCTTAGTTTTATAATTTACAGTAGGTTTTAATCTAGTCTAACAATTTATTAATAATTGCTCCGTTCCTTGCAGTCAAAGTGTGACTTATAAAAGTTAATCTTTCTGAATAAAATATGCCACAAATTACAAAATATTAAAAGAAATGTTCAAATCTGTCTAGTATTACAGAGCGCGCTTAAACTAACATAATAACAAACTTGAGCTTTATATATGTAGCAATATACTCTATGGCTTTATGATATACAGCTACTATGTATTTAGGACAATTATTATTTTCAAAAATAATTGTTTGCTTTTGGAAACTAACAAAATTGCAAGTGTAAAATGTATTGTAAATTGTAAAACATTTAAATTTTAACGTCATTGTCAAATGTCAATCGTGTAATTTTAATGCAAAATATCAATGAATATGTCGTTCAAAAATTTATTAAACAATAAAATTTTCTAATCTATTTTATATTTGTTAATTCAATGAAATAAATTAATTTCTTTTAAAATTAAATTTATTTTAGGAATTAATACAAATACTACATTAATTATCCTTTTTTTTTTTCATTACACCTGTCTGTCGACTGTTCTCAGTTCTGTCTTTTCTTTTCCCAGCTGTCTTTGCCGGTTATTTTTAGTTTAAATACTAAAATAAATTCAAGAAACGAGCAGCGATACTTTGTTATGTAGGTTATTTTAATATTTCAACGTGCGCCAATATATATCTATATATTAATGAAAATTGCGCACTTGGATAGTTTTAAGTTTTGTGCCTTATTTGCAAGTTCATTGTACTTCTATTGTTTACTTATGGTTATGAGACAATAGGAAGTTTCCTTCTGCCGCTTTAAGAGCGTCAGATAAAAGTAAAACATGTCAGGCGATGTACAGCCAAGAAAACGCAAAGACAAAAGGAAAAAGAAAGGTCAGATGATTTAAATAAATAAGTATATAAAATATTAACCAAAAGGTACATAACAAATGTAAGTATAAAATATAATTTACAGATGAACTAGGTATCGAAGAGCCTCGTGGTACAGCAGCAGCTCTTGGTGAAGGTGATGTTTTTATACACTCATATAGTGATCATGGAACAGGTGGACATTGGTGTGCTAAAGTTATATTCTTTTCTCTCTTGGCTATACTGATTACTCTTATTGGACTTATAATATTAGAAAATAGGGGACTTACAGAGTGTAAGTAATCTTTTTTAAAGTACTTTATTAAATAATATTAAAGGAGTTTTTACATTTATTATGGGATTTTTTTTCAGTGGAAGCCAACTCTGTAGAGTCGAAATATTCAGGTGTTTTAGAAGGCTGGATAGAAGAGGCTCCTGAAGATGACCATTATGATCAACATACATTAGATTTGAAACATCCTGTAAGTGTTCACAATAATTGAATTAAATTACAGTCAAAACCCTTATAGTTAAACTTAAGCCTGCCTACTGAGTAATTCTTTCGATTGAGTATTCATTATATTAATATCTTCCTTGTCATGATATTCCAAGTTTTTGTCATCTCAATTCTCACAAAGCTTTTCTTATACTAGCTGTGGTAACAAGATATTATCTCTCTTTACCTACAATAATTGGATGATAGTGAGATAGTTGATGAGATTTGTAGAGCATTTAAAGAACAATTTATATTTATATGGATAGTATTCATTTTATCCAAAATAATGTGATTGTTTTCTTATTTTATTTGTTACACTATAATGTTTTAACATATGGACAGATGATTTACCTGAAACAAACCTAAGTAATTTTATATTTATATACTGTAATTAAATAAATTAAATTTGTGATACAGTCTTGGCGGTATATTAAAATAATTTATTCAAGTATTATTTATTTAATCTTAAAAGCAATAGGTATGTTACAACTTTATTATAAAAGAGAGTTATGTGGTATGCTTATAACCTTCAAGTTATCAAAACAAAGTTTGCTCTACAGCCATTAATAAAAAATAAATTATTTTGTTGTTAGGATATGCCTTTTGTTGCTTTCAGAGCCCTATTTAAAAATGGGTATACATTATATTTTTCAAATGTTTCAAATTAATATTTGTTCAGAATACTCCTGAGGTGTTACATCAAAGAAAGCTATTTGGAGCTTAATATTTCCCAACAAATTATTTGTAACACTATCAATTTAGGAGGATGAAGATGATGAAGATCATCTTGGTCCTGAAACCGATCATGATCATGAAGAAGAAGATGAAGGACAAGAAATAGATGACGAACATGAAGAAGCCGAAGAGACTGAAAGTAATGAAGTAGAAAACAATGAAGATGAGGAAAATGAAGATAATGATGATGAAAGTCAAATGAGTGAAGAAAATACTGATGAAACAGAGGTGTGAATAAAATCTGCTTAATTTTAAGTTTCGCTTTTGATCTTTATATTAAAAGACAGGTGAAATGATTTATTATGTTTTGAAATGTTTTATTGAATAATTAAATTGAAATATAATATATCTAAGTGATTGTTGAGAGAAGGACAATTTTTAATTATTATTATGATACTTAAACAGGAAGTTGAAGAAAGGATTCCCTACCGTCAATATAACTATGAAGAAAAATATAAACAATATAATGATGTTGATGATGATGATGACGATGAGGAGAAAAATGAGGATGAAGATGACAAAGCAAGTGAAGAGGTTGAAGAGAATGAAGACGACAATTTGAGTGATGATGAAGATGATGGGCAAAATTTAGATAGTGATGAAGATGACGACGATGTAGACAATGTTGATGAAGACGAAAACGATGACGATAGTGTTAAATACGACGATGATGATAATGATGATGAATATGAAAATAGTGAATATCAAGAAAATGATCAAGATGATTCAGAACTAAATAAGAATGAGGTGCACAAAAATTATAAGGAATGAACAGTGTGATATTGAGAATAAACAGTTAACAAAATTAATAATTTGACTTTATTGGCCACTAACTTTACAAAGCTTTGTTTGATAAAAATTTACAAATTTAAATACTTCTTGTATGTACATGAATTTTTTTTTATTAATTTATTTTATTGGATGTCTTTTTATTTTGTTTTTAATGTATGTATTTTCCGACTACTACTTACTTGGCTTAGATTACAATAATATATATTATTGTTGTCTTAATTGTGTTTTTAGATCTTCTATGTATCAGAGTATAGGAGCTACTCTATATATTTTTTGCATGTTAAATTTATTAAAAGAACCTTTGAATAAATATGTTACACATTATTAATAAATAATATTTTATATATATTTAATATATTGGCATGATTTGGTTCAATAACAAAACTAGCTAATTTTGTGATATTACTTTTTGACTTGTATATTGTTTTAAATTTATTGTGTATATATTTCGTTAATATTTTTACTTTATTTTTACATTCTGCTAATAAATTCTCCCCTACCATTTTCTGCTGCTGCTAATTTAGTTATATGAAAACCGATTGTTAGCTCGTGTAGGTATTAAAAATATTAATCTTGAAAAAATGCCAATTCAAATAATATTATATTCATTTACAGGAAGATTCTATGGAAGATGATGGACAAGATGATGATGAAGATGAAATAGAGAAAATTGAATCAGAAAGAATAGACTGGGAGGAATCAGCAGAAAAGTCATATGAAGAACGAGAGCAAGGTAGCTAAATAATAAATGTATTACTTTTAATAGAGATTGACAAATGAATTTTGAAACAATTTCCAGTAGCACTCAATAATTTTCTATAAACAATAGTTTTGACGTGTATATATGTTTTTAAGGTCAAAAGTAGCTTCTCTCTTTTCTTCAAAAGAAATTTTATCAACTTAATTTATTGTCTCAGATGCATCAAAAGCTGACGACGAGGAAGATGTTGAAGATTTTCAAAATGTCGATGATGATGATGAAGAACCACCCATAGAACAGATCACTACTCCGCCCGCAGGCAAACCTTTTGTCGAGGTATGTAGCTTAATAAATAAGAAACGGAAAACAGGACAGACCAAACAGAAAGGCTACAATAGAAAGATTTTAGCACTGAGTACATTAATAAAATGATTTCAACATTTCGAAATGTTGAACTTATATTTTTGTCTGCTTGGTTCATAATATTAAGGTCATTAGAATTAACAATGGATGATCATTTTTTCGATCAAAAAGCTATAAAATAAATAGAATTAACCAACTACGGGAATAGGCGATCTGCCCCGGTAGCAAATATGTATTAATCACTATACATATTGTCTTTAAGGTAAACCTATGAGAAGGTAATACATATATAAACCTACTAATACTAATTGAAACGAATTAATTCCGGAAAAAATGATTTATTTTCAAAATAAAAATTATTGAGAAGCAGTGGAGACTTTGGAATCTAATTTTCTTTGACGACACGTTTCGCTCAGTTTGTAGTGACCCTACTTTCTGTGCCAGCGGTCGCGGGTTCGAGTCCCGCTGGAGATTCATTTGTGTGATGAGCATGAATGTTTGTACTTCAGTCATGGGTGTTTATATTTATAATATATATGTATTTAAAGCTATATATGTGTAGTGTATGAACTATCTGGTATCCATAACACAAGCCTCGTAGCTTACCATGGAACTAGATGGTTTTGTGTGTTAATGTCCCAACATATTTATTTATTTATTTTTGTCATCTCACAAGTGTCCAAAATAATAGAATGGTTTTCTGAAGTCTTGCAAAAAAAAGTCTATGACACATCTTTCCAAACACTTCTCTCTTCTCTGTCATTATAAATTCAACATTACAGCGATCTTCTATATTCTATTATGAAGCACCCAGTTTGCGACCCAACCAGTAATCGGATTCTGCCCACATTCACATATAAGTGAAAAGAGAACGCCCACTCATACAAGTTTGATGTCTAGTTAGCTGCGAACTGGGTGGTTTGTGTACCTACTGGTATTTGGTACCTTTTTTTTTAACGTTGGGAAATGCATTTACGCACGACGTGTGGGACTCACCGGCGTAATACAGCCAGTACTACCCACTAAAACCCAACAAAACCTTCCCTCGTCTTAATGGGGCGTCGCAGGATCGCTTACGCATTCAACTACGACGCCCCGACGGCAGGTCTGCCAAAGTAAACCACCACAACCATGGGGTTGCTCCAAAGTCCACTCTGCTATCAGAGAAGTACCAGGAGCAACCCGCAATGTACACCGCCCCCCGAACAGGGCCAACTCCCACCGCCCACCGAAGTGGGCAACCTCCCTGTGCGTTTCTTGGCTTCGTGCCCGGCTGTATTGCCGGGCACTACTGAGCCCCCCACCACGACAAGGTGAACGCACGTTGGGGGGGCTGGTATTTGGTATCACAACCAATACCAAATACTAAGAGGTATACAAACCGCCTTACGGTAAAGTTAATTGTCATCAGTAACAATTAAAAAAACACATTTCTTCCAAGGAGAAGTCTTAGAAGAAATGTATTCCAATAATTTGGAGACTCACTTAGTTCAAGAATGATATGTATTCAAAGTTACATTAGACAATATAGATTTATTTAAATACATTTACCGAATGTGGATAATTGTGTAAGTAGTATACAATAGTCCACCTTATTAGTATTACTCGTACATGTTTGAGCTTTGACTAGCTCAGAAATGTCGCTAAAAATTATTTCATGTATAATTTAAACCAAATGGTTAGTTTGTTGAAATATTCTAGAAGCTGACAGTTGTAGCGGACAAAACTTAACAACCTCAAATCAGCCACTATTGAAAATTAGAGCTTGTAAAGTTTTAAAAGTACAGCTTTTTTTATATTATGCTGAAATATTATCTACAGCTTGTTTATCTGCTTTATCATATCACAAGTATGGCGACTGTTAAGTTAAAGATCAAAAAACTTACTTTTGTCCTTAATTTTTCTATATATTGTACAACAACTACTACTACTTTATCAATACACATTTTATCGAGCTGTAATTTGAAGGAACGGATGAAATTTTTCTTGTTGGAAAAGCTGTTTTTTTTTATTTATTAAAATCAAGGTTTGGTCCGAAAAATTACAATTATCAATGTCCCATATACATACGTATATTTACATTATCACCATTTATCTCGTTCTCCATTTTTCATTTATTCAATACTTCTGCATAAAATAAATCAAAATAGCAGCACAGTCTGAAAATTGGGAATATAAAAATATTATATAATTATTCGTGTTCTCAATATCCTTAAGCTGTAAACAAACTACAACAATCTCAACAGATCGAAGAAGAAGTTCCTGTAAAGCCGGTAGACACTTTAGCCGAAGAAGCCGAATATGAAAGACGGCAAGAGGAACTTCGCAAACAGAAGGAAGAGTCTCAAGGATCTGATAGTGAGTGACTTTAATAATTCATTATATGGCTTGTGTTGATTAAATGAACTTGCTTATGCTAAAATATGAACAAAGTCTAATCTGCTATTATTTTCCTTTTTTACCATTTAATATTAATATTACTTTATTAATGTTATAAACTCTTAATGTTTTGTGTTCAAATATTTTGGTATAATTGAGTTCAAGTTGGTAGCAAACCTTACACTATGGAAATGACAGTTTATTAAAAAGAGCCTGATATAACGTTTATATCTCGAGATTTGCTTTTAATTTAATTACAATTGTGATTATCAAATATATATATATATATATATATATATATATATATATATTTAATTCCTTGATTTTATAGTAAGTTTTATTACTGAGTTATAGATACAATTTAAACTAAATTATATAAAATAAACTGTCGTTTCTGTTTATATTATTACTAATTATTATTTATGTGACCTTTCGTGATTAACTTATTCATTTTTTTGTTTGCACGAACTAAACTTCCATTGGTAACTAAAAATTACATACCACATGTATATTATAAGACTGCTACGTTTTTTTCAGATTTTTTATGGTAAGATAGTCATTATTTATATTTATTAGATTGATTTTATTAGAAAAAAAATCAAGACGATAGAAGAGTTGTAATATTAAGACAAATAATAAAAATAATCTAAAATATTTTCTTTTTCATTTTAGACCTTCAAATTATTTTAAATATTAATAAAATTTTAATATACTAAAATCTTATAATAAATAAACCGTTATTGTGTTCGGTACAACTATTATACCTACTTTTTACAAATTAATTATACATATTGCGTTTAATGAATTAACAATCTACATTTCTTTGTGCATATTTATCAGTATCTAAGCTTCTTCACATATAATTTATAAAAAAAAAATAAACATTTGAAATCCGCGTCGAAACCGCGCTGAAATTGTATAAATCGGTTAATAACATATGGAATACAAAACTAAGGCGAAAATATGTCGTTAGTTGTCGTAATTTCTCAACGCCCACGTCTCATCGCTGCTCACGCGTATTTGTGTCGACTGCAGCACAGCCGGTGCACGTATGAAATATATTATTTACATCACAAATTAACGATGAATTCTATTATAAAGATCGGATTAGATTTGTTCCATGGCTTCGATCAGATTGAAGGTAATTTGATGCTTACATAACCTATTACGTGTATGAGAATTTAGAAATTCCTACAGTTTTCTGTTTGCCAAACAATGTATCACTTCCTAGATTTGAACAATTTGTACTCTCGATTCTATTTAAATATATTTTTTACATATATTTTGTGTTGCTACACAAAACACACCTGTCTACTATTGTTTAATGCTTTAATTCAAATAGCTTTACTATATTTAAAATATACTCGATCTGATTTTGTGTTATTATATCAGAAATTTTAAGTTTAACTAGCCATGAATAATAGCTAACTAGCCATGAGTAATGCCTACGTATATTGTTGTTCTAAACTTTCTTATGTCCGTTCTTGTGCTACTCATTAAAACACTCTGGCGCTATTAGTGAGATTATTTTTTTTTATTGTTCGGGCTGTCAGTAGCTTCCTACGAAGTTATATATTTACTAATATTATTTTTGCTTAAGTGTGTTTGTTGGTCCTTCCTTTCAAGTAATAACAAGAGAATGAGATTATTCAAAAGTACTTTTTAATATGTACTTTTATATGGCAGGGATATTTTAACTTGAGCTGGTAGGTATATTATTTATATAGGATAAAAAATACAAAATTATTGTATCTCCTACGGTATTGTAAAAAAATATAATTTAAAACGAGTTACTATTGTTGAGTCTCTAGTTAGACTCTCCGCTTCTACTCAGCAAACCTGCTTTCGAAGCCGCTGATAGATCCCTGATAGACTTAAAATAGTGACATTCAATTAAATGTAAAAATAGACGATTCAAGTATCTTTTCGCATTTCGTTGCGGTTTTATTTTGTTTGTTTTTTGTTTCCAATCTTTCAAATGCTTGACAAGAAACATAGTTACGAGAGAGAAGAGGTTAAAAAAATATTGAAAATGTTAAAAATTATAATTAGCAAAGTATTTGCTACTTATGTAAGGTACTTGCCTATTTCGGTGCCATTTCTCTTTTTCTTCCAAATTATTGTACTCGTATAATTTTGTGGGTAGACACCATCTATATGAGCTTAGTCTCTATTAACCTTTGTCTCTGCAGTCCGTGATCATGTTTGCTGGAAAGCATTCAAGACTCGAAAAAAAACTCAAAATAAAACCTGGACAAAACCTGAAAATTTTGAATTTTATTTATTTTAATTATTTTCAGTTTTATTTCAAATGTGGAAAATTTGCCTTAGTGTAAGAAAGTAATATGATTCAAAACCAAAAGTATTTGTAAAAGTTCGTTTAAATAAAGTATACCTATTTTATTTATTTTTTTAAATATAGCATAATTACCTACAGACTTAAAGCTACTCTTGTAACAGTATTTGCAGTATATCTATAGTCTATACACTTCTATACTAATACTATAAATGTGAAAGTTTGTCAGTATGGATGTTTGTTACTCTTTCACGCCAGAACGGCTGAATGGATCTGGATGAAATTTGGGACAAAAATAGATATAGTCTGGAAGGAGTATGTGTTAACATAGGCTACTTGTTATCCCGGAAAAATGTCCGGTTTCCGTGGGATAGGTTTATCTTTGTTTTCCGCTAGTTTTGATTATATAATATAGTACTGTAATAAAGTATCTATATTTGAAATATAGCGTTATTACTTAGAGTTATGGTACAAGCCTGCGCCTTTTTCAGTGTGGCTGAAGTTGGCGGTGGGCGGTGCGCTACTCGTCGCCACGCACGCGGTGTTGCGTCGCGCCACTGCCAGGGGTGCGTACTAACCATAAAACTAAGTAATAACTAATATAATATTTTGTTTGACTCGATAGCTATTTTATCGCATTGTATTAGATATTTGCGAAATATGAAAATCATTGAATGGATTTTTTGTTTAGCTTAGCTTTATCGGCCACGCTGTTAGTATTTTATGATTAATTGAATTTAGTAAGTAAATCTCAATTATATATTTGAATGCTATTAAGCCTAAAATATTTTATCAGTTTTGTTGATCTGACTATACTTTAATATTGTAGAAAAACGAAACCCTTGAAAACCATAGTTTTTTTTAAAATGGAAAATAAGTTGATTATTATTTTAACTGGAAAAACATAATAAAAATAATTCAAAGTTACTCCAATGTACTCAGTAAGCTCCTCATAACAGATGCTCCAGCGCCAGAAGAGCAAACTAGAGAAGAAACACCTATGGTTGACCGTCGAATGACTCTCCTTCCCGAAGATCAAACTCCTATAGTACAGCAAACCCCAATATATGCTTCCCGTCCCAATATTGATGAGGAAGTGTTCAAAAAACCTGCTCCTGTCGTTAAAAATGAACCTATAATCAAACCAATCCAGGAAGAAGTGAAAGAAAAGAAATTATTACTTGAAGAAAGGGTAAGTAACGTTTTCCTTATATAATATAATATTAATTTTTCTAATGTCTAAATATTCAAAATATTTGCATATTTAATGATATCGTCGGGTATTAGTATAAAAAACCCTCAAAATAGTTTATGATATACTTGTTTTATTCAGAAACCCACTGAGAAAGTTCAAGCAGAAGAAAAAGATGATGAAGAAAAAGAGTTATACAGTGATGAGGAAGAAATTGTGGAAGAAGAAGAAGAGGAAGATGAAGAAGAACCACCACCAAAATTGACCCCTCATAAAACACCACAAGCACCACAGAAAGAAGAAGAATCAGAAACTGAAGAAGTTCCCGAAGACGTAGAAATAATAGACGACGAACAGATTGACGAAGAAATAGAAGAAGAGGAGGTAGACGAAGATGAAGAAGAAATATCGGACGTCGATGATTCAGAACTTTTAAATAGACTTGAAGCTAAATATGGCCGGCTACCAGAACCAGAGAGATTCGGAAAAAACAGTAAACACTCGCTACAGTGTGCTTAGCTATTAAACAGGCCATGAGTTTTTAACCAGTATGGTGAACCAACTAAACCCATTAATATTCCTACATGCATGACTAACAGTGTGAGTGCCATTAACTCTTTTATATAACTTTTAACGAATTTTTACTATTTTACTGTTTTCAGGGCTTTAGTTGTCCGTTTTCTTTTAAGTTACTTGTAATTATTACATACAATAAAACTTGTCTATGAACTATCGCGCAGATAAGGAATAGGATAATTGGTGATGCCTAGGGATAGTTTTATTTGCACCTGAATGAAACAATGAAAAATAATGATATTATAACACTATTATTTTTACATGACTTCGAGATTGATTAAAAACTAATTGAATCTTAAACAATTGAATCTTCAATTATATTTTACAATTATTTTAAATAAAACTATCTTTTCGGATTTCGCGAATTTATTTTGATTTTTGGTTCCCGACGTTTCGAATGCTTTACAGCATCCATGGTCACGGGAGAGACTGAGGTGTTACATGTCTTGAAGGTATAGTTATTACAGACAGCCTACCCACAATTAACAACTATACCTTCAAGACATGTAACACCTCAGTCTCTGTCTGTAACAACTATACCTTCAAGACATGTAACAAATGTCAAGTATTTGCGTAAATCTAAGAAAGTATTATTTTACAATTAGTTCAAAAATTATCAGTAAAGTACTTAAATAACGTCTTCAACTTCCTAGTTGTTTTTATTGTTTATAATATAGCATCTAAATACATATATCATTACAATGCTGATAGTATAGGCTCAATAAACCGCCATTTCTAAGAAAATTCTTTATCTGCACGGTAATATAGAGGTACCGTGCAAAAAAAAAGTTCTCTGTACATATCATAAAATCGCCAATGTCTATGTGGAAATTCAAGATTAAAACTTGTTGGAACATTTTTTTTTATTTTTTTGGACGTATATTAATATTTGCAATACATTTGATTATTGTAGAAGAAGGTGGTAACAGCATAGACGACGAGTGGCCCGGCGAGCCCAGCGAGCCCTATTGGAGGCAACAGCTTGACATGGCCGAGGAAGAACTCCGCCAAGTAAGTCTTCATTCAAAGTCATGTAGAATATAACCCAAATGTGTGAATTATAATATTTAATTTATAATTTCAAACAAAATAATTGGCTAGATACTGTTAAGGTCTTTTCAAAAAATCGTGATTACAGTATAATGTCCTCCTGATCGATTTCGGCCATGACGGCCAATCTTACTGAAACTAACTAACTGCGCAGGAGATATTATATTGCACACGCGTGTGATTCGAACCCAGGACCTCCGGATAAGCGACGCATAGCTAGCTATTAGACCATAACGGTCTATGGTCGATAGTCTGATCTTCGAAACAACTTATAACTATTTTACTCCACTCCACGCAAACTAAAATAAACAAACATGCAAAATGAAATAAACAAAAAACAAAAAAAAATCTTTTATCTTTGCTAGAGCGAAGTTTTTTATAGTATGCTTTATTTAAATTTTTTATGGATATTTTTTATAATGTAGGTAGGTACTATAAAAAATTCTTTTGAGATTTATTTTATTGATGAAGATACAAGATTTAATACCAATAAAGTATATTTTTTTCTAGTAATTATACTTTTCTGTTCAATTCAAGCGAAAGGTGCATTTTTAAGGGTAATTTATTATTATTATTATTTCAACTAAAACAAACTTATGCTGGTGTATTTGATATAGTGTGATTTGCTTTAGCATGTTTTGTATCAATTTAAATGCATGTTTCCAAAATGATTCTCATCTATCACAGCTTTACTCGTACAAAATCGAATACACCACCGTAATCGAGAACTTTGAATTTTTTTATCGATCGTTAAACATATAATTATTGTTGAAATAGAACCCAGTATTATACGACACTTCAATAGGAATTTAAGTTGCAAAGCGTAGGTTTAATAAACATTTTGTAATTCCAGGATTGGCTGGACTAATTGTTTTAAACTAATTTAGTTACTTTGTTCGTTGTGCCATTTTTCCAATAACTCATCAACAGTACCGCGCGGCCGGGGCGTGCGCCCGCACCCCGCGCACCTCCCCCCGCGCGATACGTCGAAGACTTTCCATAACTTAGTTATAACTCATCAATATCTCAAAGCCATTAAATTCTGGTGTTTTCATCTGTTTATTATTCTTAATTATCCCCTGTGTTTGAATGATTGAATTTGCCATTACATTTTTTTTTACGTGACGTCGCGTCGTCTCGCTACTAATATTTCTTATAACTTTAATATAAAGTTCAATGTTTTTTTTTTTTTTGTGATAATAGACTTTGTCAATGTCACGTTAGTTTTTTTAAGCTTATACTACTTTTTGTGTGAATAAATGTGTGAATGTAATTTACTAACGTGTGGAGGGGGCGCTCGAATCGTGCGAGAAACGAGTGTCGGCACCGAAACTAGCGGACAGCGGGCGCGCGAGATGGGTCCTTGCTAGGGCGTTAGACGCTAGCGCTGAAGCAAAAAGAGACAATAAAATACTCTCCAAAGCGATATCTGCCTATCTGAATCTTCTCAAAATGAACGACCGTATATCAGACAAGAAGTTGATTGAAGTCGCTCAACGGGCTATTAATAGGATACAATTTAGAGGTAAGCTTTACGGTAATAATATCTCCGTGGTTTTATAGTGATATATTAATTTTATGTGAAGGGATTTGTATTCAAGTATGATTCAAGTTAAGTGGTGGTTATCGGAGGGATATTGTATTACTGAATATGGTACATATACATACTTATTACCATGTGTATGTATGTTTGTATATGTTCAGCGCTTTTTAACGTCACACTGCTGGGGACGGGCCTCCCTTCAATACGAGGCCATAGTTCACATAGTGTTTCAAAAACTTGCTAGGTTTTCTCAAACATGCAGGTTTCCTCACGATGTTTTCCTTCACCGTAACACAAGTGGTAATCATGTTAGAAATGATTCGCACATGAAAATATCAGAGGTGCGAAACTCGGGATTTAAACCCGCTTCACTCATTTTCCCAAGCGAGCGCGTTACCACTGGGCTAACACTGCCTTATTATTTCACATAATATCATGCCAAAATTTAAATAAAATATATCGTTTTGTTATATATCAGTTGTAGTTAAAAACAAATGAGATAGCAATTAGAGCTGGTTATTTCTTCTCTATTCTTCGTGATATTGGCGAATCATTAACAAGAGAATTGAATTGGAAGGTGTGTATCGAATAAATATTAATTAGTAGATCATCTTAACATTGAAATTAAATAACTTTTACAGGAACATACCTGAATGCCGAGCCAATATACCGGTTATTAATAAGAAGGTTCCCACAAGATGTCAACTATCGCAACAACTTAACTGTTTCCTTTTTGATGGCTAATCGGTGAGTTAAAATTAGGCTTTATAATAATAAATTGTTTTATAATAACAATCTTAACATTTTAATCAACTCTCTCGCCGCGACTAATGAATGATAGAAGTTTTCTAATATTATAACCATTTTCTTTTTCAGGGAGGATTTGGCAGATGAAGTTCTGAAAGAAACGCTTCGACTCTGGCCAGATGACCGTATCGCCCTCAGCCATTACGGTTTCGTTTTAAAAAACCACCACAACAAATTGGAGGAAGCGGTAGTCGCTTTACAGAAAGCTCTAGAAGGCGACACTGGACCGGCGAGTGAACCTAGATTCTATTACCATTTAGGCGACGCTCTTTTATTGCTCGGCCGGTTCGAAGAGGCCCATGAGGTACACAAACGAGCCGCAGCCCTAGGACACTTTCTGTCTCCCTCTCAACGGTCCCTATACAACGTCCCACGCCTACAAAGCCGTCCCTGGTGGCCGGTAGAAGACACTCCATACGTAAAACTAGCACGTGCTCTGGAGAAGTCGTGGCGAGAAATATTGAAAGAAGGCGAAGCAGCCAAAGCGTTGTACGAGAAAGAGAAGGAAGGTTTGAAAGAGCGAGGCGATTGGTCCCAGTTGGATCTGTTCGTGCGCGGTCGGGAAATCCCCGGCAGGTGTCGGACGGCGCCCGTGACGTGTGCGATAGTGAAGGTAGGGATGTTACTTGGAGGAAAATAAATCGATTACTAAATAATCGATTTTTGTCTCTTTAAAAATAAATCGATTTGTAAAAAATCGATTAACTAAAAAATCATTGATTTTATCGAACTGTATTCGAAAAGTTGCATTAATTCAATTATTTTTTCACATCCCTGAGTGAAGGCGGAGGCGGCCGCGGCGGGCTGCAGGCGGGGGCAGGTGAAGTTCAGTGCGATGGAGCCCGGCACGCACGTGAGGCCGCACGTCGGCCCGACCAACTGCCGGCTGAGGATGCACCTCGGGCTTAGCAATACCAAAGATACGTTTATACGAGTGGATAAGGAAACTAGGTGGGTATAGAATTTGTTTAATTGTTACTAATTATACACGAGATCGATTTACTGTGTGCTTTTAGTAAGAGATCCCGATTTATGTGGTGGACCCCTCACTCTTTTTCCAGACGAAATGTATTTTTAAACAATAAAATATGGGAGAGGGAAATGGTTAACAAACATGTTCCGAGGGTTGTCACTAAAAATTTGCTCCAGGCTATTTTTAATTAATAACATTTCAGTCGTTTTTTTTAAGTACAAGGACTCTTTTTCCTGTGATAAAAATAGTAAAATACTTGTAGAAAATGCCATCATACGGTTGGCGACCTCTTTCGAATCCACATTAAGGTAAATTGAAGTAGTAAATAGCTCATATCGGATCGTATTTTCCAGAGCCAACAGAGTATCGAAATACAGATAATTTAATGATATATGGTTGTTATACCAAAATATCTCGAAACTAGAGGTTTTTTAATTAAAAATAGCCTGAAGCAATTTTTTTATTAAACTATATTTAGTCGGGCCATAATTATGTAACCCAACACGTGGGCGACTTAGATATCCTTCTCGGAAGGATCTTACGCTTTTAAATGTATCGTCCTTTTTAAATGTTTCTTAAAACGATCTATTATTATAAGCAATGTTCATGTAAAACAATTGAGTTGTAACTGATGGCAAGCAATTACGCACAAATAGTTTAACGGCCCTTTTTTTGTGATGGGAATCCACACACACTACTGCACTCATGTTCCTATAAAATCTTAGAAAATAAGTTATTAAAATTAGTTGTACTTGTCCTTTCGACGAAAAACGTTGTTTTATTACAATCCCGTCCCGATAACATAACTCCCTATATGTTAGATAATATCTAAAATTTTCTCAATATTAATATTACAAATTTAAGTCAGTCAGATCAGATTAATGGTGGTGATTGTTGGTAGATTACTGGTTACTGGAATTTTCTAAATGGTTCTCCTTTCCTTTCATCGTTGATACTGAATGTCTCCATTTCTTATAACTTAAGCTTAAGAAGATACTATAATAATTGTATGTATATATTTCAGACAATGGCAGCTAGGCAAGACGTTCATATTCGACGACAGTTTCGAGCACGAGGTGTGGCACAACGGCACCGGCACGCGTCTCGTGCTCATCGTGGACGTGTGGCACCCGCAGCTCACGCCGCACGAGCGACGCACACTGCCCGCCATCTGACCGACACTTCTGTCAGTTCGCCGACACTACATGCCAGATACCAACACTACATATATGCTAACCATCACCTCTCTCAGCTCACCGACACTACATTTTCATTTAACCGACAGTTGATCGCCATCTGACCGACATCTGTAACCTCCACTGGTATAGCACATACATTACCATATGGGTGTATGTAAAATTACAAAAATAGTTATGGTTTTTGAGAAACATTAATATACATATTTTAAATAGAATATTTAATGTTCGAGAAGCAACTCTGTGCATACTTCTATAGATAAATGTTTCTATTTTTAAATCTAATATCTCATTTTTGTATGATATTTTTAAATCTACTTCACCTTAATTTGTATTTTTATTTGCATTAAATATATTATTAAAATTTTAATTATCTACTTAATTTTGTATTAAAAATGATTATTATATTTTTACTTTATATTACTATGATCTGCATTTGTTGTGTATCACAGCGATAAATGTAAATAAGAAAATCTATATTATGAAAGTATGTACAAATCTCTGTTATATAATATTCTATTTTATAATATTCTATTTTATAATGTATGTAGTCCTTTCACAGTAGGTGTTAATAACATTCTGTATGAGAATTAATGTTTAATGTTTTTTGTTATGATTGATATCTTAAGAAAATATAATTATGACGCTCGAATAAATAGTTTTTTTCTTAAATAAAAGACAATATTTTTATTGACTTATATTTGGTATAAAAACGTCAGAAAAGGCTTGTATCTAAACTTACACTAATAAAGCTCGTTTTGTATATGACTTAAAATTATGGGGCCATACTTCATGTAACTAATATGTAAAATTTCTCCAAAACATGTGGAATGTGATCATATTGTGTGCTCGACTCCTGTGAGGAAATATGCTAAGGCATAACATTTTGTGCATTTAACATCTATGTCCTAACAGTACATTTGAATAAGTTATCGATTAGTACAAACTAGTATATGATGAATGCCACATTTAAATCCCACGGCCAAAAAATTTATTTTAATAATATTTTCACAAACTAATGGACGGATTAGTTCTATCAATTCCAATTTAATATTACTGTTGTAAGACAGTTGAGCGTTAAACATAATATGGTGAATAACAACTATCCTTATATTTAAATTACAAAGTTGACATGGAATGAATTATACATAAATATATTGTACACTATAAGGCTCTTCCTATTTTTATTACAATTTATTGAGAAATATTGTTCATTGACATTTCGTCCATTAACTTTCAGTAATATTCTTACATAACAGATTGAAGTCTAACATAGTCTTTACAGCTACTTACTAGTATAAAAAGTAGTTTCTAGAAAACATATTTTCTATGAAATATGTATAACAAAAATATTAAAGCTAATTCTAAATCGTCAAGAAGGAATGTATTTCATACAATAACACTGACTTTATTGTTTACTAAGTACCACTTAAAATCTATTATATTATAAAACAGGGTTGCCAGATATGTTTGCTCTTACTGTAAGGATTCTTAAAAATATCAGGGAGCATTTATTCAATTTCATTGCCATAATTTATTGATATTTTGCAAAATTGTAATATTTCAACATAACCCATAACAAGTTTTTACTGACAACACTGTAAATATAAAAAAAAATATCCTAATCACATATACTACAAGTAAACTTAACATTCGAAAATAGAACAGGTAAAGATATGAGTTTTGAGATTCTTTTAAAGTGAGCACTGGTTAAGGCACAGAGAGATAAAAAAATAAATTAAGGTACCATGTTATAGGTGTGCGTGTCGTTGGACGGATAGGCGGGCTGGTAGGCGGGCGGGCCGGGCGCCTGCGGAGTGCCGTAGGGCGGCGCGGGCGGCTCCCACGCCTCGTACGACTCGCACGCAGCACTCTCCCTCTCTACTACCCTGTTCTCGTAGCTGGCCGTCTCATACCCTATGTTGCTGTATGTGGACGTTTCAAAAGTCCTCGGTGGTTCATTGTAAGGCCCGACCACGTCACGCCCAGATTGGTTCTTCGGACGTCGTATTGTGTCACACCTATTTGTGATTATTGGTATTGACTCAACCGGTGGTGGCGGGTAGTCTTGAGTATTCGGTATTTGCTCCCTTTCTGGGTGGTATGAGGAAGGCCTCGCACCGTGGAAGTTGGAGTATGAAGAATGAGCTGACGTAGGTCGAGACGGTCTAGAATCGTGAGGCAGAGATGCGTTTGAAGATAAGTAGCCGGCGTTGCGATAGGATCGACGTGATCTCCGCACGGAAGAACCGGCGCCGCGGGAACCTGACCGACGTTTCACTCTTCGAGGTGTCATTGGTTTGAGAGAGCTTTCACTACTTACATTTGTTTCGGTGGGACTTAATTCTATTGTGTAAACTTGACGGCGTGATAGTGTTCCTTTATCTGAAATAATATGCCATAGTTATATATAAATTAGTTCTATATAATTAACTAGTGACTCACCCTCGCTCCGCTTGGGTTCGTCTCTTCTCTTTTCACATTGAGTATAGATTTCTCAGAGATATTTTCCCGCAGTAATAAGTACCCTATATGTTGACTTGGATAACCGGTAATTAATAATTAATAATTTGGTTGTCTTGTTAAATTAATTTAACAGACAGACAGACAAAAATTCTAATAAATATAACTTCTGCCCCTGTATCAATAACAATATCTATTTCAATAACATTTTCCAAAAGATATTTAATGTACAGATTCGGATTGGTTACGATTCTATTATATGTATAGACAAATTTTAAATTAATATTGATAATATGTCAATGACAAGTATAGATTTTCACATTATATACTATTACTAGTGACAAACACTCTCTTCGCTCAGGGGCATACCTAGGTATGTTTTAAATAGATAGAGGTATTTTTTTTTGTGAATTTTTCCTATGTTTTAATAGTTATTCTGCTATTCGGGGCAGAGACAAATTCAATAAAACAAAGGTCATAGAAATTTTTCCAGCCATTCTTGAGTTATAAATGGTGTAACTAACCTGACTTTTTAGAAATGAATTTACATAAGCAAATTATATTACATAATTACATAAGCAAAATTTTTCAGTTTAGTTTTATTAAATTTAAATTCTGGGCTATTTCTAGGCTATTTACATAACTACTTTTTATCAAAATTAGTTTAGCCATTGCTAAAATTAAGCCACCAAACTGATAAACAGAGACACATTACTATATTAATTTGGATATATTGTACATACCTGGAACAGTCTTATGTTTTTTAAATGACTTATATGCTAATAGAATTGTAAGTGGCAAGGCTGTGGCTGTAAGTACTGAAGCAACTGCAGACTGTCCTAATTCAACATATTGCCATTGGAAGAAGCAACCTTCTACTCTTGCTGGTCTCCAAGTGCCTGGCCCATCTGCCTCTCCCCAAACTGGTTGACATCCCCAACCATTTCCTTCCCACCAACTCACACTGCCAGTGCCCAAGGATAGTAATCCACTTTCCTAAAACAAAACATAAAATTTTGATATTTGCTTTAGGTTTGCCCCAAGATAAAAACAAATCTATTCCAAGAAAATTGTACATTCTTCCAGAATAAAAAGTAAGCTATTCCACACTATAATCTATCTCTGTGCCTAATTTCATTCAGATCCGTTCAGATCCGAAAGTGTAATAAACATCCATCCATCCTCATAAACTTTCACATTTATAATATTAATATGGATGCTTATTGCAATAATTATTAAAGTGATATTTAAACTTTGCTAAACATCTGAAACCTATAATTTTTAAATGATCTTAACTCATATTGTACATTATTAATTCAAAAATAATTAAAATGATTTACTGCTTACCCTATTAAGGATACCAAGATTGAGGTAGTAGCATATTAGAAATATATTCCATGTTAACCACATAAAACTCCATATTGCATACTGTAAAATAATTAATTTAAATTAAACTCTGGAAGGAAGACAGCTTATAACCTAAATCAGTGGTTACAATTTTTTTGGCCACAGAACTAATTGATCATATTTTTTTAAATTTATTTTTGATAATAACTAAACCGATTGTGTTGTAGTTAGAATACTATCTTGTTTGCTTTGAAAGAACAAATCATAAATGAAAAATATTGGTACTTTAATATTTATTGTACCAAAAATATAACCTGACTATTTATGTGATGAATGAAATTTTTAAATTAAATTAATTTTATTTAGAAATTAATCTCATAACTAATATCTAGTGGTCTAAGCGGCATTCAAAACATTGTGAACCAAAAATCAAAATAGATTCAGTTCAAGTAAATTTCAAATATTTGCATAAATCGAAGAAAGTAAGTAAAGAATACTTAATCTATAAATGAAATAAAAATGTTTTTGTAACATTGTTATTTAACAATACTTGCATAGATGACTGATATCAGTCAAAAGAATACCACATTAAACAAAAGTAATACATAATTTAACATATACTTACAGCCAAAAGATACTTTGTTACGTATTGTACTGCCCCAAATGAACCAAATATTATTAAGATTATGTTGACAAAGTTGGCAATAATTGGCAACCACATGTATCCAAGGAAATCAAACACTTGCCTCTGTATTGTTACTATCTGTAATAAGACGTCTTTTTAAAAAACCGATAATAATACCTTTAATTGCAAAAAGCTCGGACACTAACATATAATACAAAAAATCAACAAAGAAACAATAAACATCTGATTTACAAAAATATTGTTTATGATTAAGTAAAAGTATGAAATATCTTAAAAAAATCAATGTATTTTTAAACTATAACTATTGATTACGTAAAATAATTAAATAGAAAATAAAATATCATTAATAACTTTAAAGTAACAGGCAAGTTTTAAATTACATACCAATTCCAATATACAGACAATAAGTAATATAGTCCTTAATCCGCAAACTGCCATTTCCACTTCTTATTTTTCATTTATCACGATAGTAATATATTAATCTATGATTTGATAAAGATTTCATTGTATATTATAATATAATTCGCAAAAGCAACGCATCCCAGCCTAATTTTACTTGACAATTAATAATGAAATCATGAAGACTTGAAAGTTGAAGTGACAAATAATTTGTTAATTGTTGTCAATGTGAAATGTCAGTTGTGTGGTGTTACCAACATTTTGTTTTAAAAGTTACGAGTTACGACTACTATTTAATATCATTAAGAAATATATATTGAAGTTATTATATTGGATACTAACTATTTATTGAATTTGTCTGCTTATAATTTAAATGATATATAATTTTGGGATTACACTTTTTTGATTTCTTAAATTTTGTAACAAATTGAACTTTGAAGAATGGTAACTCTGGATTGTGACTAGTAAATTCTGAATTCGTAAAATAGGTATTGATTATTTATTAAATTTGCTTGACTCACTTTGGTGGATGATCGATAGGTACAGACTGAGAACTAACAATACTTCACTGCATATCTACGTGTTAAAAGAAAGGTCAGTTTACCTTTACTTCCAAATTTTTCTTTTACTTGCTCTCAGTACATAGCACCGGTAACCTACTATTTAAATTTTTATAGATCGAAATGGCGACTGAAACTTTAATCCCCCTGGAATCTAATCCTGATGTAATGAACAAATTTCTTCAAAAACTAGGTGTTTCGAATAAATGGGGCATAGTTGACGTGATGGGGTTGGAACCTGATATGCTGTCTTGGGTACCAAAACCAGTGGTAGCCGTTACTTTTCTTTTCCCAATTTCTGAAGCTTACGAGCAACATAAACAACAAGAAGAAAGTGATGTTTTATCCAAAGGTCAAGAAGTTTCAAGCAATCTTTTTTATATGAAACAAAATATAAGCAATGCATGTGGAACTATTGCACTTGTCCATGGAGTTGCTAACAATTCTGATAAAATCGAGTTATCTGATGGACCTTTAAAAAAATTCTTGGATGATGCCAAAGAATTAGATGCCACAGCTAGGGGAAAATTATTGGAAAATTGTAAGGACATTATTAATGCTCATAAGGAACTGGCCCAGGAAGGTCAAACAAATACTCCCAGTGCAGAAGATCCTGTCAATCATCACTTTATAACTTTTGTGCACAAAGATGGAGTCTTGTATGAATTGGATGGACGTAAGGCTTTTCCAATAAATCATGGTCCTACTACACCAGATTCTCTTTTGGAAGATGCAGCAAAAATTTGTAAAGAATTTATGGGGCGTGATCCTGATGAAGTTCGTTTCACAGTAGTAGCTTTAGCTACAGCTGATTAAAAGAGAGATGTTCAACCATTTCAAATGGTAGTCTGAATTTTTGCTTTACCAAAAATATGCTTTTTCAAGCTTATACTTAAAAGTATTTTTTACGAAATTCATATATTTGTATGCTGTGCAAGCCTTTGTGATAATAAAATGCCTATTTATTTTATGATTTATTTTATTTACCCCAAAAATATAATTTTAAGCTGTTAAATATAAAGCAAATAAGATAATTTTTCCATTTTTCATAGTAAAATTTAGTCCTTTTCTAACATTAATTGATACAATATTAAAATTTAGCACTACTATTTTACTAAGTCTTAGGAACAATGCTAATATAGCTTTAGTTTTTATTTCAACTTATAATAACCTAATGTATGTAAAAATGATTCAAAACTGAAAAACAATGTAATTATTGTATTGCAAAGCATACACACCTAAGTATTAATAATCCATAAATCAAATAGGATTGCAAATGTCTGAATATGATTATTTGTCAATACAAATTGAATAAAAAAATATCTACTTAATAGTATGTATTTCATATTTATTAAATTTAACAATGATATATTTGAGTTGTATAATATGTTAACTTTAAATAGGTATTTAATAAAATATTAACTTTTCAACATAATATATTACAACATTTTTTTACTAGTAATTTGTCACTACTTAAATCTAAAACATAGGTACAACATTGTGGCATAAAATCAAGTTGCTATTTTATGATGTTGTTGTAATTTCATCTTCTGCATTTATTGATACACCATCTGTAATATTTAAAAATGTTCACCATTTATTTGCAATTTTCTTTAACTAATTTTTTTTTAAGAAATCTTAATTATTGATAGAAGATACATTATTATCCAGACTAAACATTTATAATTTATACTAGCATTGCCCGCGTTCAGATGAGCAAAAACCAAATTCTTAGGTTTTACATATTAGCATACTCTTGCATTGCATCATTTCAGTTCAGCATTCATCATTGCAGTTTTTGTATTTTATCTCAGAAATGAGACATTTCCCGCGGTAATAAGTATGCTATATGTTGACCAGGATAACCAGCTATCACCATACCAAATTTCATCAAAATCCCTCTAGTGGTTTTTCTGTGATGCGGTAACAGACAAACAGACAGACAAAAATTCTAAAAACTATAGATTCGGCCTCTGTATCGATAATAATGTTTATTTCAATAAGATTTTCCAAAAAATATTTAATGTACAGATTCAACTCAGAATTTTATTATACGTTTATATTTATTGTTGTATAGGTTTTTAAAAATCATGATTAAAAATAAGTCAATTTTAAGTTTTAATGTATATTAAGTAACATATTATATATAGTAGGTATTTTTTTCTACTTACCATTTAAAAGTAGTGAATTATGCGTTTGAGTAGGTAAGACAAGGGTAAGTACTAGGCCAAGAACTGTTGCTGAGCCACATACCCATACTAAGGCGTCGCGGTAATATATCTCAGTACTATTATCTGCACTAGAAACAAATAGAATTAATTAGCATTTGTATAAGATAGGAGAAAGTTATCAAAAAAAAAGTGTTGAGTGTGTAAGCTCTGCCCCACCACTAGAGTTTACTCCTTAAGTACAATTGTCTGTGAATATGCAATAAGAAAAGAAGGTAAATAAATGCACCACATAAGATACTGTACACTGTACATGTACCTATGTATTTTTATTCTATTAAAAATTTTCATATTGATTCGGTAAAATACTTTAATACATCAATCATCATATATAAATATATATTACCATACCATAATATTACCATACATAAATTGTTTCGGACGACCAGAACCAGGGTATGTCTAGTACCCGGAGGTCGACCTGGGACAATCTCCCAGACGTTCTTGGCGTACACGGCAGTATGTCCGTTCGCTGGTAATGTACGCCACCACGCACCCCTGAATGCGTAGCTTGGGTCCCGATCCACTAGGGTTTCTTCGTTGACAGGAGACTATACTTAGAGGCGATGAAATAAAAACACAATTTTTCCTTTTTTCTCTCTTGGTTTCGGTTCTTCCTTTTCCTTTTAGTTGTTGCCTCTTCGGTGGCTGTCTTGCGACTGACTCGAATCGAGAAATGGCTCGCCTTTTATTTGGCCCGTTAATACCTTACAGAGAGCCGCGTACTTTGAGCTCATTTTTCGAATAAAATTTCCCTAAACCGAAACCTTGAGAGTCCTTTTATTTTATGTTTTCAGTAAAACACCTTACACATATTTATTTATTTACATGCCTTACATACTATTATACAATATTAAAACATAATATTCAATATATAATAATTAATTAAAAAAGTCTTAAAACAAAAATATCTAAATTTCTAGGTTGCTACATTTTTACTATACATTTTCCCTGATAACTTTTGAACGGATAGTCCTATCGACCTAATTCTTGTTTTATTATAAGTTTTATAATAAAATCTATTATTTAAAACATAAACTATTATGCTATTGCAAGAAACAAAAAATCTCATTTTCAAGTTACGTAATTATATGCTAACATTTTACTTACGTACCTATTCCTTTCAAATTAATGTTAAATAGTCTTATATGATTCAAATAAGCAAAAAATACTCTAAACTAACCTTATTACACTAATTAGAACTTATTTTAACATAATAAATATAATAAGAATGAGATTTCATATTTACAACAATTATTCATAATACGCTAAAATGACATTGTCCCTATATTAATACACACGTTACTCGAAGATAAGTTTTCCGTCGCCGACATTCTCCCCCTCGTGCTTTGCACCAACTCCTGGACTCGGCGACGCTCCCGGCACCAACAGCACCACTCTCGAACTGGGCCTCCGTAGAACACCTCCTCTGGTCTCGACGTCGACGACTCTGGTCCGCCCGTCTGGTCCAGGATACACATGCAGGATTCTTCCGCGTGGCCAGATGCATCTTGGTAGGCTGTGATCGACGATCAGTACGATGTCTCCGACTTGCAAATCTGTGGCGCTGACTCTTCCTTTGGTCTTCCTTGGTAGTAGAGTGGGCAAATACTCTCTCAGCCAACGTTGCCAGAAGTGATCGGCAAGTCGCTGCGTAGCCTTCCAGGTGTGTCTGCCCACAAGCTCGTTGTCCTCGAAGCTGCCGATTCTTGCTGCGCCACATGATCGCCCGATGAGAAAGTGGTTCGGTGTAAGTGCTTCTTCTTCAGGGTTCTCGGAGAGGTGGGTGAGGGGCCGAGAGTTGACTATGTGCTCGGCCTCTAACAGGAGGGTATGAAGTACCTCCTCTCGTGGTTGCCTTTCGTTGAGCGTGGCGTCCAGTGCGGTTTTAATGGATCGCACCAGACGCTCCCATGCACCTCCCATGTTTGGTGCACCAGGAGGTATGAACTTCCACTGCACACCGATCTTCTCCGCTTCCGAGATAAGGTCTTCTTGCTTCATGGTGTCTAGTGCTTCTTTGAGTTCTTTGTTGGCGCCAACGAAGTTAGTGCCATTGTCGGTGTAGATTATCTTTGGCATTCCCCTTCTCGCGGCGAATCGTCGTAGTGCCATGATCATGCTGTCAGTGGAGAGTGAAGGAGTGAGCTCAATGTGTACAGCTCGTGTTGTTAAGCATGTGAATAGAGCACCCCATCTCTTCTCATGGCTTCTTGCTACGGTGATCGTCATAGGGCCGAAGTAATCTATTCCCGTGCACGTAAATGGAGGGTTTCCGTGCATCAGCCTCTCAGCAGGTAAGTTGCCCACTGGTAGTTCTTGAGGTCTTGCCTTTCTTGTTTTGCACCACTGGCATTGATGTTGAATGGTCTTGATCGCTGACCTCAGTCCTAGCACCCAGAAGCGTTGTCTTACTTCGTTCATTACGGTCGCGTGATTCCCGTGATTGAAGCGGCAGTGAAATTCTTCTATGATGAGAAGTGTTGTCTTGTCCTTGCTGTCGAGTACGATGGGTCGTTTGTAGTCTCTGGTAACCCCTCGTATCGCGTCGATTCTTCCTTTCAGTCGCAGGAGACCTTCTTCTAGCACTACGTCGAGCCTTTTCAACTTGCTGCTGCCCTCTAATTGTTTTCCTTGCTGTAGGCACCTGATGTCCTCTTTGAAGCATTTCTCTTGACTTCTTCTTAACAACAGCGTTTCAGCTTGCTCTAGTAGACTTGTTTCCAATGGTATGTATTTCCTTTCTGACGTTTTTGAAGACAGATGTCGCTTCTCAACAATTTTCTTATTCCTTTTTGTAGTTTTCCAGGTAGGATCTTCTTTGCTGGCGTGGACCTTTTCCTTTCTTCTGCAGAGTTGTATGAACTGCAGTACTCTTGCTGTAGCTCGCCAAAGTCTTTTCCACGACGAGAACTTTTCGGGATCTGGTGATGGATAGGAGCTGCCTGCAGTCGCTACGATGTCCGCTGCCTTTTCTTCGCCAGTGGTTTCTTTCTTGAATGTTCTTGCCGCAGGCCAGTGAACTTCATCTCTTCTTAGAAACCCTGGTCCGGTGTACCATCGGTGTTGGCAGTCGAAGTGTTCTGGTACGTCACGTGTTGCATCATCTGCAGGGTTCTGCGCCGTCGGTACCCATCTCCAGTCCTGTGGTTTTGTGAGATCTTCTATCTCCGCCAAGCGATGAGCCACGAATGTCTTGAAGGTTCTCGGGTCCGTCTTGATCCATGATAGCACGATACTGGAGTCTGTCCAAAACGTCTTCTTTTCTATTTTCAGATCCATTTCTTCCTCGACCGAGTGTGCCAATCTGCTTCCTAGGAGGGCCGCTTGCAGCTCGAGTCTCGGGATTGACACCGGCTTCAACGGAGCGACTCTTACTTTTGCTGCTACTAAGCTGACGTCATAAGTCCCATTTTGATTTTCAGTTCTCCAATATACCGTAGCTGCATACGCCATTTCGCTTGCATCCGTGAACGTGTGCAGCTCCCCCTCGGTGCGACGTGGTGCCAGACATCTCGGGATCTGAAGGTCTTGGAGCAGCTTCATCTTCTCCAGGTAAGTGTTCCATGACTCGTACTCCTTTTCTTCTATCTCTTCATCCCAACCGACGCCACTTCGCCATATGTTCTGGAGCAGCCTTTTGCCTTGGATGAGAATTGGTGATGCTAGCCCTAGTGGATCGAAGGTCGACATCACGGCGCTGGTGACTTCTCTCTTCGTAGGTACCTTGAGTCCTTGTGCCACTTCATCTGGCGTGTTCCGAAGGTTCGCCCTAAAGCCTATGGAGTCCCTTTCTGTAAACCAGCGTAGTCCCAGTGTCTTCTCTTCCTTCTCACCAAGGTCCACCTCTGTCTTCTCAACTGACTCAGTCTTCACGTCTTGCAGCAGGTCGGAGTGGTTTGACGCCCATCCTCGGAGTTCGAAGCCCGCCTTTTTGTGAATGAAGTCCACCTGCGCTGTAATTCTCTTGAAGTCCTCTTCTGAATGGAAGCTGTGCAGGTAGTCATCCATGTAATGGTTCAGCTCGATTGCCTTTGCTGCCTCTGGGTACTGCTTCTTGTAGTCCGCCGCGTTCCGGTTCTTCACGTAGATCGCTGTGCTAGGAGATGATGTCGCGCCGAAGATGACTGATGTCATTCTGTACTCCTTCGGTGCTACGTCACGACGATCCCCTCGCCACAGGAACTTCAAGCTGTTTCTATCTTCTGGCCGGATGCGAACTTGCAGGAACATTTCCTTTATGTCGGCTGCCACTGCAAACGGGCCTTGCCGGAACCTCAGTAATACCCCGAAGAGCGATTGCAGTAGGTCTGGTCCCGGTAGTAAAGCGTCGTTGAGGCTTCTCCCTTTAGACTTGGCTGCAGCGTCGAAGACGATCCTTATTTTCTTCTTCAATGGATGTACCACGGAGAAATGAGGGAGGTACCATGTCTTCTTTGAATCTTCTTGTCCACCAGGTGCTTCTTCTGCATACTTGCTGTCGATTAGATGCTGGATCTGCTTATTGTATTCTGCCTTCAGCTGAGGGTCTTTGTCTATCTTCTTTTCAATGTTGAACAATCGGTTCTTGGCAGACGTGTAGCTTTCAGGCATCTGTTCATCTTCATTTTTCCATAGAAGTCCAGCTTCAAATCGACCATCTTCTAGTCTTCTGCAGGTCTTCTCTAGGATGGTGAGTGCTCTTCCTTCTGAATCCGTAGTGGGTCTTCTTGGTAGTACTCCAAGTGCTTCGATTGCGAAGTGATCCTTGATGGCTTGATGCATCTCTTCTTCTGGCGTGCTGACATGTAGACACGTGTTTAAGAAGTGCACCACTTTCGCGCCTCCAGTGTCTGACCCGTGGAGCACCCATCCAAGTCCTGTTCTTGAAGCGACTGGTTGTCCTGGTTTCCCTCTTCTTACTTCTTGAGTCACGATTAGCTCCCAGTTGTCTTGACCGATGAGCAGCTGTGGTGACTCCCCCTTATAATATAGAGAGTCAGCAATCTTCTTTAAGTGTTGACACTCTTCTATCCTTTTCTTTTCTAGGAACTGCGGTGCAAGCTTCAACTCGTCGATGGTCCGGACTCTTCTCAAGGTCTTCTTGGTCTTCTGATGAATCCCCTTCACCGTAAGGTCCAGCATCTGAGAGTCTTCCTTCCTTATCAGCCTGCCTCCAACAGTCTCGATGACCAGTTCCTCCTTTCTTCCTTGAGCGCCGATTTCTTCTGCTACCTTCTGGTCTAGCAGCGACACTGTTGACCCTTCATCCATGAGGGCCAATATCTTCTTTGATCCTTTTGACCCGAAGATTTCTATCGGAATTATCTTCAGGTATGCCCTTGCGTTGTTGACTGCATTCACCGATGCCATGATGCTCGCCACTTCTTGTGGTTTGTTCTTCTGTTCTTCCGAGGAACTTTTCTCTGTCTCGACGTGCAGCAGATGATGATGCCACCTCTTGCATTCCTTGCACGACGGCTTCTTGCAGCTCTCCTTCCGATGTGTCCCTTGTAAACACTTGAAGCAAACGCGGCTTTTCTTCACTATTGCCCATCGATCTTGCACAGACGCCTTCAGGAACTTCTGACACCCGACGAGGAAGTGTTCACCCTCACACATGGGGCAAGTCTTCTCTGATCTTGAAACCTTTTCTTTGAAGTCCTTTTCCTTAGTTGAATGCGTTGCTTGTCGATGAGTCCGTCTGAACCCGCTCTTCTCTTCTGTTGATGCATAGGCTCCACACTTGTCTGCTTCTCTGTTCAGGAACTTGGACACCAGTGTTAGGTCGGAGAACTCGCCTTCTTCTGTTGTTTCAATGAAGTCGTACCATCGGAACTTGAGGATCGTAGGCATCTTCTCAATAATTTGTTTCACCATCTCAGGTGAATGCAGGTACTGTGGTTTCTTCAATCCTTTTATTGCCGCTACGCTGTTGCTGATCTGGCTCGCGAAGAGGCATATGTCCCTTGGGTTTTCAGAAATCTTCGGCAACGTTTTGACCTTGTCCAACTCTGCCAGCACCAGTGCATCTGGTCTTCCATATCTTCTTCTGAGGGCTTGAATCACTTCCATCGGAGAGGCTTCGGAGTACAGCAGACTCTTGATAGCTTCTCTTGCGTTGCCCTTCAGTGCTCTTCTTAGCCGAGCCATATTCTGGACGTTGTTGAACATTGGTGCTGTATCTTCATAGACAACCTTGAAGGCCATCCACTCGCTGCTGTTGCCGTCGAAGTAGGGTAACTCGTGAATGTAGGTTGGCTGTCCTGCTGGTCCTTGCGTGGTAAGAGCTTCCTTCAATGCTGCCGTCAGTGCTTGAATTTCAATCGTAGCTCCTCTCGTTGAGGAGTTCTCTTCAGGCTTCATCTTCTGTGGCTCTTCCAAGGGGTGTGGACCTCGCATCTCTGGTTGAACTTTGTTGCCATCCTCCAGCACAGACGTCTCGATCCAGTTCTGCACCTGTGCTGTTCTATCTTCCAGGTCTTCATCCACGGAGTCCTCTTCTTCACACTGTGCCATCTCCAATCTGACACGGGCTAGCTTAGTTTCAGCCTGTGCTTGCTTCAACTCCAGGCGTGCCAACTCTTCCTTTGCTTCTAGCTCGCGTCTTCTGGCCGAGGAACTCGTGGTCTTCGTGGACCTGGCGCGACGACTGACCCCCATCGGTTTCAGGGTCTTGGAGGAGCCTTGAACATCCTTTCCAGGTACATCTTCTTGGCTCTTCCTGGTCATCCTCTGTGCAGCATCTTCTTTGTTGCCTTCCATAGACGCCGCCGTAGTTGCAGTCGTAACCGTAGTCTCCGTCACTGTGGTGCCCTCCGTGGTCGTGGTACCCGAAGAAGTGTTCGATGTAGTTGCAGTTCCCGATGACGCCGACGCTGACGTGACCCCTTCTGATCCCGACGTTCCATCTGTCGCGTCCCTATCTGAAGGACGGGACCCGGGACGTGAGGGGGCATCCTTCTGCGACCTGGTTACCGGCATCTTGAACGCAATCTTCTGTTTCTTCTGAACTTCTTCTAGCAGGGATCCGGCTCGAAGGACCAACTGTTTCGGACGACCAGAACCAGGGTATGTCTAGTACCCGGAGGTCGACCTGGGACAATCTCCCAGACGTTCTTGGCGTACACGGCAGTATGTCCGTTCGCTGGTAATGTACGCCACCACGCACCCCTGAATGCGTAGCTTGGGTCCCGATCCACTAGGGTTTCTTCGTTGACAGGAGACTATACTTAGAGGCGATGAAATAAAAACACAATTTTTCCTTTTTTCTCTCTTGGTTTCGGTTCTTCCTTTTCCTTTTAGTTGTTGCCTCTTCGGTGGCTGTCTTGCGACTGACTCGAATCGAGAAATGGCTCGCCTTTTATTTGGCCCGTTAATACCTTACAGAGAGCCGCGTACTTTGAGCTCATTTTTCGAATAAAATTTCCCTAAACCGAAACCTTGAGAGTCCTTTTATTTTATGTTTTCAGTAAAACACCTTACACATATTTATTTATTTACATGCCTTACATACTATTATACAATATTAAAACATAATATTCAATATATAATAATTAATTAAAAAAGTCTTAAAACAAAAATATCTAAATTTCTAGGTTGCTACATTTTTACTATACATTTTCCCTGATAACTTTTGAACGGATAGTCCTATCGACCTAATTCTTGTTTTATTATAAGTTTTATAATAAAATCTATTATTTAAAACATAAACTATTATGCTATTGCAAGAAACAAAAAATCTCATTTTCAAGTTACGTAATTATATGCTAACATTTTACTTACGTACCTATTCCTTTCAAATTAATGTTAAATAGTCTTATATGATTCAAATAAGCAAAAAATACTCTAAACTAACCTTATTACACTAATTAGAACTTATTTTAACATAATAAATATAATAAGAATGAGATTTCATATTTACAACAATTATTCATAATACGCTAAAATGACATTGTCCCTATATTAATACACACGTTACTCGAAGATAAGTTTTCCGTCGCCGACATAAATAAATATATGTTCTATGTCGTGAGCCTTATATGAAAATAGATTCTTAAAGAGTAAACTTCAATTTGTCTGGATAATTATATAATGTGATACTTACTACATTTGTATAATCGCAATTGCAGCACCACAAGATAATTTATCAGTAAAACTCATAAGACCATATACAAAAGCAGATGCCTGAGTACTGTTTCCAACTAAATCAGCTGTTAGAGATAAGCTTGTTACAAGCATTTGTGCTCCACCAAAACCTGAAATTATCATTTAAAAAATTGAATAAAAAATTCCAATCCATCCAAAAGATCTCGTTCTTCAAATTGAAATTGAACAGTATGAATAAACTTTGAAATACACAATATGCATTAAAATGTGTAGACCATTGTTGTGAAAGATAAGATATTAAGTCATATTTGCATTGGAGTCTCTTTATTAATATAAATATTTGTTAATGATTTATTCATATACTTATTGACCTCATATATAACATTATAGATGACTCTTAACATATAGGAAAAATCCATTTCGTGTCCGAAACCTCAAATAATAGAATTTTTTTATGTTTAGTAATCAGCCTGTGCATACATTGAATTTAATATAAAACAACATATATAAATTACTAACCTATTAACACAGCAACTACATAAATATAATTCACTTTAAAATCACGGTCAGAATCAAAGTACACCCATAGAAAACCACTTAATGCACATGCAGACCCCAACAAATAGCTTAGTTTTCGAGTGAAAGATCTTGGCGCCAACCTCTGTACACCTGCAGCTGCCAGGCTCCCGAGATACATAGCAAGGGGCACTACAGCTAATGCCCTTGCAGCCAGACCCAATGTGCGGTGAAGATAAAGTGGTATCAGAACTTGGGCCACATTAACCACAAGCCTTGTACTCATGTATATTCCAGCTATCTAAAAATATATATGTATAAGGCAACTCAGTATTACAATTACTCACTAATTTATCAAAGTATCAAAGTTATGTACTCGTATGTTAAATACTTACATGATACAATAAAATTTTGCGAAGTACGTTACAATGGATTGAAAGAGTACTTGTTTCATGATCTTCATTTAATAATGAATTTCTAGATTGTTTTTCAGTTACAGCAAGGTGGAAAAAAATTGTTGCTAAGCTCCCTACTCCCACTACTATAAGCATAATTTGTCTAAACTTCCATGCATCTGCTGGACCTACTTGCTATAAACAAAAAATAGTTAATTAATATCAACACTAAATCAAATTAAAAAAAAGACAGTATAATAAATAATATTTCAGTAAGCTGCTTCAAAAATCATAGAACATACTTCCTTATCACATTCACCAGTGAAGTGTAATATAATCCATGTGATTATGTACACAAATATGTTAGAGAACACAGTAAATCCATATCTGAAAAAAAGGTAATAGAAAATGAGATTTATAAAATTAAATTTTAATATTTCAGTAAGACAATCAAAGTTAGATGAATATTATTTACCTTATTGCAGTAAGATGTGTTCTAACATGAGGATCATCTGCAAGTTCAGGGATAAGACTAAGATGAGATATTTGCACAGATGCCCATCCAATTTGAAATATGGTAATAAAAGCAGCAAAGTAGAACATTTGTGCCCATTTATGTGCTAATTTACATTCAATACATTCCATAAATATAAATGGAAATGATGACAATACACATAAAGTACCTAAAAAATTAAGTAATGATGTATAAATTAGGTATATGAAATAGACAAAATAATAAAAACTATTATCCATCAGTACATTAAATTATGTATAATATTATATGAAGTTATTTAAAACTAACATAGGGTAAAAATGTGATCTCGTGAAAAAAACTAGCTTACCGAATAAATGCCAAAGTTTTCTTCTACCATATTTTGCACTTAAGAAATTGTTTGTATGATCAGAATGATAGCCAATAAAAGGTGTTGTGAATGCATCAACAATTTGACCTATTAACAATAAGTATCCAGCTTGTGAAGCAGAAAACTCTAGCACAAGGTGAAAAAATACCAAAAAATATGTAAACCATAAACTTGCACATACATCATTCAGTACATGGCCAATGCCATACGCAAGTTGCTTACTCAGGCTGGTTGATATATCCAAAAATTCGTTATCCATTATTCGCGTATTCAAATCCCCACTATTTTTGTAAAATAATCACCATTTACACTAGGATTGTAGATAATAATAAAAATGTATATAGAGAAAAAATTGAAATACTTCAATGCTTAAAATATGTATTGTTCAAAATTAATATCTCACAACTACCCATCACATTCACTTAACTAAAGGATTAAATTGGAAATAAAAAATATTAATGCCCGATAGTTAATAACTTTTGGTACCATAGTATAGACATCTAAAATATAAGGTAAAGAAATCTACAACTTTGGATAAAGTCGTATATTAATATCGAATATTTACAAAGAAAACTGGAACTTGGAAGACTAAACCTATAAGTTTTAACCTACCCATATAACCCAACTATTCCAAATATTTATAAGTTGATGACATGATGTGTCATAACTCAAAATTATCCTGACAAATGACAAGTGAAGTAAGACGGATGACAAATATAAATATGAATTGCCATTTAACACAGATTATTAAGGCTGACGCAACAAGTCCGTCAATTCATCTGATTCGTCTTTGCTGTGACATAAGTGATAAGACACCCAGTTTTGAAAAATTCTACAATAATTCTGGTATACCATAATATAAGCAACAAAATGTTATTATTAACTAGCGGCTCACCCTCGCTTCGCTCAGGTTCGCCTCTAGAAAAACAAAAAAAAACTATCCTACGGGAACCGTACATTTTTCCGGGTTAAAAAGTAGTCTATGTGCTATTCTGATGTATGAGCTATATTATCGTAACGTTTCATGAAAATCCATTCAGTAGTTTTTGAGTGAAAGAGTAACAAACATACATCCATACTCACAAACTTTCACATTTATAATACTTATTAGTATTTTCGACCAACAGAAGTATTGTCGATCGAAGATTATCATAGATAATTAATTTGTCATACCATAAATATTAAGTGATATTTCGTGATTGTTCTTTTCTTAATCACGCGTAAATCGTCAATTTAATAAAATAAATATGTAGTTCTAAAAGTAGCTTACTCATAATTTCCTTGTTTAAACCACATACGTATACCTACATAAAGCATTCTAGTAGACAGATATTTTATTTTTTAATCAACACTGTACTTATCAATAGAACGTATTGCCCACGAAAAACTAATACACAATAATTAATTCACCAATGACTATCTTTTAAATAACGAAAACATTTATTTACATTGTAAATACAATATTTATTAAGAAAGTCTAGTATCATAATATAAATTGCAAGTTGCTGGTTTCCTGCACCTATTAGCCGATAGGGCTGTAGAACTCGTATCACAAACACGTAAAGGAGGACGCAGTGGGCGCGAGGTCGCAGCAGTAAGTCTATCTGTACTAGAACGAGGTTCTATAGGTCGAAGCCGACGATCGCGTTCGACTCGAGCTCTTTCAACGCGTTGGGCATATGCTACGCTTCTTTGAAGACCTGCTAAACTATCTGTGCGTGCAGGAAATCGCTCTAAGCTATTAGAAACCTCTCCTACTTCAGCAGTATCAGTATCAACTATTTCTTGATGATCAAGAACCATTCCTATGTTTATTTTTAAATTAGTGGTCCCATCTCTAAATATTAAATACACAGTGGCTTGGTCCAAAACTTTAAGAGAAAAATGTTCATTTATTTTCAATGCCTTCATTTTGATTTGAAATGGTTTAAATTTTTGAGATAATTTTTTACTCTTCTCCTTGATAAAGTTATCAAACTCAATTGCTAACATCTCTTCATTATCTGATCGTGCCTTATCTTCAGTTGGTCCACCAAGTTTTAGTATTTCCGGATCCTTATGTGCCATTTGTGTATCAATCATAACCTGTTGCAAAACTGGTGGATCATTAAGAGTATGCCACTTCCAGTGAGAGACAGGACCAATACTTCTATCTAGGATTACACCTTCTGTTTGATTGTATTTCAATCTTTAAATCATACAAAATGAACACAACTTAATGTTTGCTATGATTTTGACAAAAATGATATAGTTAACTTATAATAAAAGATTGAATTTCATTTTATATTGAATCGAATAACAATCGTAAAGTACACGAAGAAAATATTATTTACCTTATTTTACCTGCGTGATCAAATACTATGCCGTTTCCAAGATAGTCAAAAGTTGCAAGAATAGCTAAAGGTCGAGATCGACCTCTCTCATCAGGATCTCCGCTACTATATATTACAAAGCGTTGTTGCGCATTTATTTCTTTAAAAGTAAGTATATGTTATAATTTGAAAGATCTTTTTCATACCATAAAACTAAACTTTTTAAGAGACTACTAGCTTTGTCTGGATTAATTATGTGTAGGTAACCTATTATTGCTTCGCTCGCTAAGCGAGATGTTAGACAGTCCTTTCTAAATATTTAGGCTATAAAAATCAAATTTTGTATTATTATTAATAATATATTAGTATTTCATCTATAATGAGCGCATTCAAACTAACGAATAACGAATTCTACAGATAACACTTTAATTTCGTATCTAAAATATTATACACCTTCTGCGTCGTAGTAATCGAGAGCCAATCTTCCGTTCCTATAAAACCATCTTCCACGACCATTCTCATCAAATTCAGCCAATTTTTCACCAGTATCGTAGAGCATTAACTTTTTATTTTTGTTATGTTCAAACCAATCAAATTCAGGATGCGCAGGTCGCATGCGATATACGTTCATCTATAAAACAACAAGAATAGTAATATTCTAAGATCAATCGGAAATGTAGATAACTAACTGTAAAAAAAATTTCGTTACTTTTCGAACTACTTTTTCTGTTGGTAACATAGTCCATCCTTTCTCAATAAATGAGCGATCAGATAGAGCATATCGTATAACACCCTTAGGTACTTCTTGTTCGGGCTAGAAGTAAAGAAATGTCCAGTGAACAAAATAGTAAAGTTAAGAAATTATGATAAAATTAATAAGTACGCTCATTAAAATCTTTTTATATGACTTATTTTCGTATAACATTTTTTATTGATATAAAATTAAAAAAATACCTCGGATTTCTTATTTTTAAACATTTGGAAGAATATTAGTACAAAATAAAATAATATGAAATAAATTATCCAAAAATCTATTCGTGTACCTATTTGATTGATGGGATGACATATGTATAGAGTACCTAAACAGAAAATTAAATATAAATAATTATAATATATATTATACTTATTTGTGATAATATTATTTTTACTTTTACGTACTAAAATGTAAAAAAATGCTGTCATAAGTTTAAGTATAATTCACATAGAAAAATTTCGTTATTAGGACCAAACTGGTATGGTTGAAGATTATTATGTCAGGTATTTTCTATACTTTTCTTAAACTGATGTAAAAAAATAAATAACAATTGCGACTGCACACCGAGTGTTCTATAGTATGAAACGATGATTAATATAATAGTCATGATTAAGTTATTCGTTACGTTGAAAATATTGGCCGATTTACAACATTCACATTGTCGATTGTAAAAATAATTTTGTATTTAATAATAGTATTAGTACCTACCTAGTAGTATTAGTATGGCTGTGGTAGCCCAGTGGTAAAGCGCTTGCTTGGAAAACCGAGTGAAGCGGGTTCAAATTCCGGGTCTCGCATCTCTAATATTTTCATGTGCGAATCATTTCTAACATAATTACCACTTGCCTTATGGGGTAGGAAAACATCGTTAGGAAACCTGCATGTCTGAGAGAACCTAGCAAGTTTTCGAAAGACCGAAAATGTGAAATCCGCCAACTCGCTCTTGGCCAGCGTGGTGGACTATGGCCTGAAACCTCGCATTGAAGTGAGGGCTCATGCCCAGCAATGGGACATTAAAAATGGCTGAATACATACATACAATATTAGTATGAGAAATAAAGTTATTTATATTTATTTCAACGTAAATTACTTAAAACTCAGTGTATCCACTTCAAAATACTAAATTATCGTTGAATTTTGGTTAAAAGTATTTTGGAAGCTTTAATGGAACCTTCTTATTTACAGAAATAAAAGAGGTAATAAACCTTCTAAAATACATAGGTACATAATACACGTTAACTCGACGTACTTGGCAACTATTGCTATATATATATATGTATAAAAATTTTTTAGCAACACACCGAGTAGGTATACCGTATATTTCAATTATAAAGATCTACCCAGAGATACACCACATGCACATAAGTACCAACAAAAAAAAATTTCGGCCCTCAGTTACATGTATGTACTACCCTTCTTTTTTATTTATTGAAGAATTGTCTAGCGGTTAACAGGAGTACAATAAAGAACGCTAGACAAACGATTTTTAGGGGTGATTTTGGCTTTTACCTATAGAATTTTATCAAGTACAGTCTATGAATTTCTTTGACCCTTTTAAATTTTACTGTTATAATTCTTACAATAGAAATCTTCCTAATTCTTTTTACAAGGTTATAAATCCTACAAGAAATTAAACTTACATAATGGATGAATAGTGAATATGAACTTCTGATTGATTAATATTATTATTTTTATAGTTGTTTATATTTGCATGCATTGATAGAAAAAAATCTTACATGTTTGCTCGGCATTAAAACGGGATATGGTTTGCTTTCTTGTGTTTCAGTCACATACTTCGGACTTTCTTGTTTTGGAACATTTACTATACCATCATCCTTAAAGGTAGACTTAAAAAATAAGGGAGCTATACCTATCTCTTCAACTTCTTTTTCTTTACGAGGTTTACATTTCAATATATTTTCCCCTACAATAATATCATTTATTTTTTCACTTTGAGTGGTATTTAAAACAATATTCTCTATATCAAGTTCTAATTCGGAGTCATTACAAATAATACATTCAGGTTCTTTTTTATTTTTATGGCCCTTATGAGCGTTTATTGTTACAGAAGGGATATTAAGTTCGGACAAACGCTTTGGCCGGGGCTTCTTTTCTTTATCTGGATCGGACTGTTTTAGTTTAACAAGCTGCAATATCAAATCATCAAGTGATGGTGTTCTGACTTTAATTTGATTCATATTTATTCCTTTTGATTTGGGTTCAGTTACGCCTTTTTGGGATTTTGAGTCTTGCTTTTCAGGCGGAGGTTCTTTTGTTGTTTTAGATGCAATTTTTCCGTCTTGATTATCTTCAATAGGTTTATTTTCTACCGCTATTTCTTTCTTTGTCTGTTCTTTTTGAGATTTGATTTTAGATTCTTTTTCTTTTTGCTTAACTTGTTCTGCAATCATTCTATTTAATTCCTGTGCATAAGTATCATTTTTATCTGTTTGGCGTTTATCAAATTTTTCTTCATCTTTGTTTTTGCGCAGTTCTTCTTCGTATTGTCTTTGTCTTTCTTCTTTTTTCTTCCTTAACCCCTCCTCTTTATCTTTCTTGAGATTTTCTTTTTCTTCTTTTTCTTTAAGCTTTCTTTCTTTATCAGCTTGCGTTTTTTCCTCTTTTTCTTGTTGTTCTCTTAGTTTTCGCTCTTTCTCAGCTTGCATTTTGTCTTCTTTTTCTTTAAGTTTTCTTTCCTTTTCAGCTTGCATTTTATCTCCCTTTTCTTGGTTTTCTTTTAGTTTTCGGTCTTTATCAGCTTGCATTTTATCTTCACTTTCTGTTTTTTCTTTTTGAACTTTTAAAGATTCTTTTGCTTTTGGTATGTCAGTTAACTTTTTTTTATTCTTATCATTGATGTCTTTAACGGAAGGTTTTGGGATAAGAGGTATGGCTTCTATTTTCTTTTTAATTCTTTTCCCATCTTTTAACTCTCCACCTGACGACCGTTTTTCGTCTTTTTTATTTTTTTCGCTTTCCAATTGTTGAAGTTTCTTCCTCTCAAGGTCAGTTTTATGTAAACGTCTTTTTTCATCTTCTTGAATTTTTTCCAGGTCTTTTTCTTCTTTTTCCTTTTTCTCTAATTCTAATTTTGTATCAAGCTTGTCTTGAATATCTCTAATTAATTCTGCGGAGCTTTTACGTTTTGTTATCGGTCTTATGTCCTTAGATATTTCTTTAATAAAAAAATAGCTAAAACCTTTTTGTAAAGATTTTTCTGAATGCTGCGCGGATGAAGACTTGTGTATTGTACCTTTTCTTAGTGAAGTCTTTGATAAAATTGATTTCAATTCAGTCTGTTGTAAAAGAATACCAGGACGATCAGCTTTGTAAGTTTTATTGATAGAGTTTCTATCGTCATAAGTAGGTTCGTTAATTTCAAAAGGATCACAGCGAGCCACTTTTTTCAAAGAATCTTGAAGTTTAAAGTGTTTACTAGCATATGTGTCCTTTTCTAGTTCAATTGCTTGTTGAAATGGTTTTGATATAGATTTTGGTTGCCCTAAATGTTCATAAGAGTGATAAAATGTTAACGGTGTTGTTTTATTATTATAATTAATCTTTTCATCATGAACATATAATAATGCGCTTTCAGATCTTGTTACCAGATGGCCTTTAATTATTTCCGTTTTTTTTAAAAATTGAATTTTTGTTGGGCGTACTGTCGATTGTATCGAATGATCAAATTCTAATAATTGTCCAATTTGAGGTTGATGACATGAAGTTGAACTTGCAGAAATGTGACGTAAACTATCTATATGCAACTGAGAACCAGTTCGACGATGCAAATGACTTAATTTCTCTTTTTTTTCTAAAATATTTTCCACATTAGATAACCACAAAAGTATTTCTTTCAATAATTTCTTTTTTTGTATTTTACTGGTAATAAATGTGTTTACGATTTCACTACATTCTTGACAAGGTTTTTTAAATTCAGCCCGACAATGATTACATATAGTAACTGTATCAAGTTTTTCAATTCGTGGTATCTTTGCTAACAACTTTTTAGCACGTTCGAATTTATATTTACAACGTGGACAGCTTGTATACTTATCTGCGAAATAAATAACAACAATTGTCTGTATTATTAATCATGATGACGATATGTTGTTCAAATAAATCATAATAATTATATATAACCTTTTGTTTAAATATGAGTATTTTAGCATTGAGTAAAATTAAAGTTACCAGTACCTAATCTTATTTTAATAATTAAACCAAACAGACAATGATTAGGTACCTAAATATTCTAAGGTCTTACCAAGTTCCAATAAATATTTATCTGCGGAAATATCAACATTAGTCTTGTTATGGACAATAATAACATCCGACTTAATACCCGAAGGTTTTTGTAAACATTCTTGTTTATTCTTGACCTATGAAAATATATTCATTCATAAGTAGGTAGGAAGGCACGACATTGTCCAAAAAAAAGGTAGGCAGAAAAGAAGCAAGTACATAACACGTTCAAAATCGGTAGTTTAAAATAAATATTTACCAACAACTTACTTACGTCTTTATCATGTACTGAATACTGGTATATTAGCAAGCCTATATTTTTCAAATTAGCAATTTTATGAAAATCTGGACAATCCTTACACGATTTACAGCATGGACATTTTCTATATTAAAAGTTAATTTTGGTAAATTAAACTTGGTAATAAATCATAATAATTTTTATACAAGGAATAACTTAAAAATATACGTAATAACTTACATATTTTCCGATATCATAATAGATATTTTTATATAAATCAAGTAAAAAAAATTACACACAATACAAAATTATAGGTAATCAAATTGACTTTATTAACAATACTTTCAATACCTACAACAGATTAGGTATATATAAACTTCATGGATTTAATCAATGAGTTATTGAGTATAACAGACTTTTTAAATAAAATATGGAGAAAAGTGCAAGTAAAAGTTATAGACCAATTGGAATCCGTTTCCTTAAGTTTTTTTTTTAATTAAAAACCTAAAGTTTTATGATTTTAAAATATTAGCAGGTATATATATGGAATAGAAATTCGTAAAATGCCCCCGATGCCCAGCTACCCCCGAAAAATAGGGAGACGCAAAGCGTTGAAAAATATTTTTGAATTTCCGGCTTACTGTGACGTTCTAAGATAACTCGGCCAAACCAGTTATTGTGTTTTTCCATGGAAATGAGAGATTTTACTGTAGTAAAAGCTATGGTAAATGTTGACGGTTGACCCGAATAATGAGTTATCACTACACAAAACTTAGTAAAATCTGTTTAGTTCTTTTTTGCGTGAAGAGCAAATAGATAAACAGACATACAAAGAGACATAAAATTTTCAACTATTGGTATAGTTTTATTATCCTTCAATGAACTGGCCTCCTAATATAGCCACTAGCCAGCATGCCAAATATTAAATAAAAGAGAGAAAGAACAAAATTCATATCACTTTTTTTAAAACATTTTAATCCTTCTTCTTTTTAAATATATTTAAAAGTTTTTGACGTAATGAAACAGGAGTGCCTACAGCTTTTAAAATTAATTCTTTGGTACAAATATTATTTAAAGGACCAAATGCTAATGCCACAACTGTACATGCTAAGCATATAACATTATATGGCATGCTAAAATCAGGTGTTGGTAAAGATACCATAGCTCCATTTGTTCGAAAGACCATTGGATACCCTAAAAAAAAATATATCATTAGCTGTTATAAAATAGATTTTAAAAAAGAAATAATAATGTGACAAAGAACTTACATGGCTTTGAAGCATTTATGACTGAATCAAATGTATTTCCACTAATTGGTAGACTAGTGTAATTTTTTGCAGTTGGTAAATTTGCTGATATTAATGCAGATCCAATGTAAAATCCATGATTTGCATCGGGAGGATATTCTTGCCATTTAAGAAAAACAAATTCAAAATCAATAGTAATTGTAGTAGTAGATTTAGGAGGCAACTTCAATAGAAGTTCTAAGTGATAAGGTTTTTGTCTACTTCGTCCAGGTGAGTAATACTGTGACATAATTAAATTGCTTTCTGCTTCTCCATTTATTCTCAATGAACTTAGTTGTATTGGTAACCACCATGGAGCATTCTCTAAAAGAACTACATCAATAGGAGCCCAGTAGTTATTTGTTAATTCAGTTACTATTCCACCAAATTCTTTACCATATCCAAGAATATATCGAGCAAAAGTTAAGGGAGGGGGTATATTTACAAATATATTATTCTTTGCTTCATATTTTGCTACTATGTTCACAGTCATCATATGATGAAGTTTGTATATTGCCAGTTCTGTCTCACTGCCACCTCTTTGTGATAATACAACATTATTTGGCTCAGGACTTAATTTAAAAGGATATGTTTGATTTGAAGTAATATCCACATATATTTTACTAGAAGATGAAAGTGGGCATGCTCCAAGTAACCCCTGTCCAAATAATTTTCGAAAAGACCAATCCATACTATTGATTATTTTAAAGTCATAGACAAGTGCAACAGTTTGTGTAATTTCTAAGTCTGTTTCGAAACAGTTTTTATTACTACATATTCTTCTTACATGTACTCCAATTGAATGATAGTTTGTATTGTGAATCATTCTTGAATTAAGAAGAGAAGCTAGCCCATGGCTCGATTCACAGGGTAATAATTTCTTCCATGGAGTTAAATTTTCAGTGCACACAATTTCTCTAGGGAGTGATGCATACCTCAAATGTGAAGTAGTGTTTTGTTTTATATTACTAGCACCTGTTGGCCATAATGCCATTTTGGGAGTGACAGTATTAAAGTTTTCTATAAAGTTTAAAGATGCACAAAAAAGCCCAGACAAAGTTGAGCTCAGCTTTTTCCATTGTGTGTCAATATCAATTAACTCAGGGGAAAACCACGCATAGAGTTCTGCGCCAGGTGCAGCATCTAATACAGGATAACCCCACAGATTATGTTTCCATTGCCCCTCAGTCAAGGTAAGGTGTAGTTCTTCTACTTGATAGCGCAACATAATTTCTTTTAAAGAACGTGGAGCAAGATGAGAATGTTCAACTAAAACAACAATACCATTAACATTATTGAATTTTATAAAGTATTAGTTATTGTTTAATAAGACTTTATATTTATACTCACAGGACTGCCTTCCATCGACGAGGGTTATGAAATTAAAATACACATAAAGATGTGTTGGTGGTAATGGTTTAATAAACATTTCTTCTTTAAACTCATCACCTTTAGTTAGTATAATCAGTCCAAAGGAGATAAGACTATAAATAGTTATTTTTAAATTCAACATTTTTGAATGAAAGATTACTTCTATCGTAAAATAAAATAATGATAATATTGTTCATACAAAGTATAAATTTTTTGCAATTCACTTTAATTATACATGGTATTTATTATTTAAAGCAAAAACATTGCATCTCTGATATCATTAATCTCTATTGTTTTCACATTCATCTGTCATTGTCATCCATGGTTTTCAGTTAAACGTCATTTGGACAGTCACGGTATATCTAGACTGCACACTTAAGAGGTTAAAAACGATTTGAGATTACTTACAAATTTCACCTTTGGGCTTTGCATTTTTATTTGTCAATTGTCATCCATGATTCACAGAACTTTATTTCATTCGTATTTCATTAATCTGTATCGTAGACGGATAATTCTCAGTCTACGTTCTGTATGAATGGGAAATATAAGTTTAGAAATTATTAAAAAATATTCTGCTTTTAATAATTCAAATGTGAAATAATTTAATTTTTAATCGACTTCCAAAAAGAAGGAGGTTCTCAATTCGTCGGAATCTTTTTTTTTAATGTATGTTCACCGATTACTCGAAGACGCCTGAACAAATTTGGATTTTTTTTGTTTCAAAGGGTATATACTTCCCAGGTTGTCCCATATAAATTTTATCGAAATCGGTCTAGCGGTTTTTAAAAAAATCAACAATAAATATATTTTTTAAATAAATAGTTTAATCGAATATGTTATTACCAAACTTTCTTCTTACAAATTACCTGCTTATTAATCTACACAAATAATGAAAAAAAAAACTTCCAGGCACTAAAATGTAAAAAATAACTAAAAGGTTTTCATTTAGAATAGATATCTAATCAGATATTTTCGAAGTCTGTGCCAGCCTACAATATTTTAATATATGAATATCTAATAGGTAAATAAGTATTTTACGTATCGAAATATATTAGATTTGCTTTGCATCGGCTATAAAACGTGTAGTTTTTACATTCTCTTTGAACCTTTATATTGAATGTGGATACACGAATGTATACGACCGTCAACTATTATATTAATAATTAATATCAGCTAAATACAATGAATATTAAAGTTATTAATTGCCAATTACATCGGAGGACATAGGTCAAATTTTAATAAAGCTATTTATATACATTCAAGACATGTAACACCTCAGTCTCTCCCGTGACCATGGATGCTGTAAAGCATTCGAAACGTCGGGAACCAAAAATCAAAATAAATCCGCGAAATAATCCGAAAAGATAGTTTTATTTAATAATGTCAAACATTCGCGTAAATCTAAGAAAGTATTAAGCTATTTATTTATTAGATTTAGGTTCAGTTGCTTTTAGCTTATGGTATTATTGTGACAATTAAGAAGTATAAAATATCTATGCTGTAGACAATTTTGATTTTTGACAATTAGTGATTTTATTGTTTTAATGTCACCTTGATTGAGTAGAATGTTTCATTATAAACTTATTTTCATTCGTAATTGTGATATTATTTTGTCCTTTTAACTGTATTTTTGCATCAAAAGAAATGTAAAAAAAACGGTGGAATACATTTTAACAACTACAAATTAAAATAATCTGTAAAAATGGTAAGAATATAACTTTGTGCTTAAACAAGTTTTTATTCGTTAAATGAATCACCAAAGTTATCGTTTATTTATGCAGAGTTATCAGGATGAATATGTGGGTTCATTTCCTAAAGATTTTAGCTACGGCCCCTTTGAACAAAATGGTGAGAGTGACAATGCATCACTGCAAGAAGATCACAAACCTCGAATTCTTCTTATGGGCCTGCGAAGGTGAAATATTTATAGCATTGGTGCATATTTTAACTTCTTAATTACTTAGTAATATTTACGTAATACTCTAAAATAATCACTTGTTCTTTTTAAGGTCAGGAAAATCATCTATTCAAAAAGTCGTATTTCACAAAATGTCTCCCAATGAAACTTTATTTTTGGAATCTACAAATAAAATTGTTAAAGATGATATAAACAACAGTAGTTTTGTACAATTTCAAATATGGGACTTTCCGGGTCAAATTGACTTTTTTGATCCAACATTTGATTCTGACACCATCTTTGGTGGGTGTGGTGCTTTAGTATTTGTTATAGATGCTCAGGTAATATTTTTTTTTTGTTTTATGGGCAAATCTAGTTAGCTGTTGTCAACAAATAATTAATGGATCAATTGTGTAAATATTTTAGGATGATTATCAAGATGCTCTTGATAAACTACAACTCACTGTTACAAAAGCATACAGAGTAAACAGTAACATTAAGTTTGAAGTATTTATCCATAAAGTAAGTATGAATTTTAAATATTCTAAACTCTGGTAAAGCACTAAGACTTTTAAATCTAATTAAATGAATCTGATAGACAGAGTGAAAAAAAGATAAATTAGGATGGTATTTAATATTGTGGTATTATTGTAATTATATTTTAACAAGAGTAGCTACTTAAACTATAATGACTTAATTGCATTTTTCTTAACTACAGGTTGATGGCCTTAATGATGATTACAAAATGGAATCACAAAGAGACATCCACCACCGAGCTACTGAAGATCTAGTAGAAGCTGGCTTAGACCATGTCCATTTGTCCTTCCATTTAACCTCTATATATGACCATTCTATATTTGAAGCATTCAGTAAAGTTGTGCAAAAATTGATACCACAATTACCTACATTAGAGAATCTTCTAAATATACTCATATCAGTAAGTCAAGTACTTTTTATTTCTATATTAGCGACTCACCCTTGCTGCACTCGGGTTCGTCCCTCGAATGCTTAGTATGGATTTCTCAGAGATAAGATATTTTCCGCAGTAAAAAGTATATCCTTGTAAAAAGTATATCCTATATGTTGACATGAAAAATCATACCAAATTTCATCAAAATCCCTCCAGTGGTTTTTTCATGATGCAGTCACAGACAGACAAATAAAAATTCTAAAAACTGTAGATTCAGCCTCTGTATAGATAATAAGTAACAATTTTATTATATGTATAGATTATTATATTGTAATAGATAGTATAATAAAAGCATTTAGAAGATTTCTTGATCATACAGAATCCCAAAAACACATCTTTGCGGTATTGCTAAACACATACAGAAATTTAATTTCACAGTTTTTTCTATATCTTTATTGGATTGGAGTATTGTAAAAAATCAAGAAATGACAAAATTAAAAATGTTATTTCAGAATTCTGGGATTGAAAAAGCATTCCTCTTTGATGTAGTTTCTAAAATCTATATAGCAACAGACAGCTCACCAGTAGATATGCAAAGTTATGAATTATGCTGTGATATGATTGATGTTGTTATTGATATATCATGTATATATGGGTATGTTTTATTTGTTCTGTAAAATTGTAATTTTTTATATCACAAATAAATAGTTTTATATAATATATGATTATTGTTTCTAGGATGGTTGATGAAACAGATGTGAATACATTTAATAGCCAGAGTTCTAGTCTAATAAAGCTGAATAATGGCACTGTACTTTACTTGAGGGAAGTTAACAAATTCCTTGCCCTAGTTTGTATACTTCGCGAAGAAAACTTTCAAAAACAAGGTAGCAATGTATAGCTTGTTTAAAATGATTTTGTATTTAATTTTTCCAGTTAGTCAAATAATAAGTGACTTTGATAACTGGATATTTGGTATCCATTAAGTATCCAGGAGTAGATTTTATTGGTTCTGTTAAACACATTCATTATCATTTATTTGTGCATTTGCAAATTATGTCATTGTCATTTTTTATTTATTTATCTTTAATGTTACTTAAAAGAGAAACAAAAAACTACAATGTTGCTGTATTTTAGTGTAACTCATATTTTATATATTTTCCTAGAAAACTGTAAACAACTGAACAATTTGTATACAACAACAATAAGAACAATTTTTTTTCAGGAGTAATTGATTACAATTTCCTTTGCTTCCGAGATGCAATAACTCAAGTATTTGAATTGCGAAATAAATCTCAAAATGCAGCAAGAAATCGTTCAGAAGCAGATCTTCTGCAAAATGGCGCCGGTGATTCGTCAGAGAGCGCATCCGATCATTTACAAGTGCAAATACCATAGCACAATGAACATTATCATTATTTTTACTGTATAAACTGTAGAAAAATTATCTATACAATATGATTTGTTTATACTAATGCTTATTCCAGATAAATTCATAACTATAACTGTAAAGAATATTTAAATAAAAGAAACTTATTTTTACTGTACTTTCAATACCATTTTATTAACACTATTTTCAATTTTGGACAGAATTATATTATTATTCGTTTCGCTCGGGTGCGTCTTAGTGACTAACAGCTCGAGCAGTTCGTGTATGTCCGGCCTAATGTTATGGGGTCTCGTCAGGAACTAAGAAAAATTAGTTCAAATAAAAGCAGTAGATGGCATATGCATCGATATGTTATGAAAGCCTAAGTAAAATTGACAATATGGAGGGTAGAACCCTCCATACCAAAAACGTATATCATGGTTTTACAGATGTCAATGATGTCAAGTGTAAATCAAATTTGCGTAATTTCTGTAAAAATCAGCAATAATTGCAAATGGAGAAGATTTCTCGAAAGGAAGGCGCCACACGTATGGCCTATTTACATTCAGTCTGAGGATATGCAATTTATTATGAAATCTCTTCTGTACCTGCTTTTTTGCTTCTATTGTTTTCGTATCTTACCTGTACTATGTATTGTACCTGGAAGTTAGACCAGCTAAAGAAAGAATTGAGAAGGATAGGTGCATCCTGCGGTTGTCCTGACTAAGTGATGGATCAACACAAAGCCTAGACCGCTGGTCGTAGAAATGTGAAATTAGGAGGGCGTATTCCTTATATTATGTAAGCATCCAATAAGAAAGAATTTTTCGAAATTCAACCCTTAAGTGGGTAAAATAAGGGATTAAAGATTGTATGAAACTCTGTCATTCTTAATGTGAAATACACAGAAACTAGTGTTTAGCTTTAAAATAAGAAATATATTTTGTATATTATATTTATATAGGCAAAGAATTATTTATGATCAGAATTACTTGAAACTTTGTTTTAATGCTCTTTAATACAATAAAATAAATACGGGTTTTAGCATTTTTTGAAATTCAATTCCGTAAGGGGGTAAAATGGGGGATGAAAGTTTGTATTAAACTCTCCAAGTAAATATATGTAAAAAAGTACAAAAAAAATATTCACCTGTTGACGATATAAGAGTTTTAAAATGATGATTTCACCAATCTTGGTTGTCTTATTGCTTTAGCCCACAATTTCCTCAGTTTTTGTCTTTTGGAAAGAAAGGTGTCCATTTTTTTGCATCCAGGCACTGCACAATTTGTCATTTTAAATAAATTTTCGGCTTTGTAATAAATCATAGTGATCGCGATGTCTGCTGGGAGAAAATGGCAAAATTATTCCCCATTGTTTACTTACCTTTGAATTTTGATAACCGAACCATAGATGATTAAGTGAAAATGTTTAAAACTACGAAAATATTTTATCTGTGAATACGACAGGGCTGTTTATGGAAAATACTAAATTGTCATTTGTCATCTCAGATCGAAATTGGTTCTTTGTTGTATTTGTATTTCTTATTTTAAGAAAAACAGTTTAAACAATTTATATTATTTTTTATTAGTTTAAAACAGTGCCCTGTTAAAAGTGTTACAGTCGTCAGGAGCTCTGAATGTAAGTGATTATTTTTTCATAAACGGTCTTACTACTGCTTTCTTATTGTTATAATAATTGTTAGGGAAAGAATTCGTTTTTCATAATTGAAAAAGTATATATTAGGAGATTCATAATATAAACTATAGTTTATAAATTAATATATTGTAAGTAATACAAAAATATTTAAATGTAAACTATATTTATCCAAATGAACTTGATTAAAAATAATTAATTTTCTAGTACACATTATTTTTTCAACATAATATCAATCAATATTTCTTATTAATTTAATTATTGTTATTTTTTATAAAATAATAATAATAATTATTATTTTAAAGTGACTCCTAGTTATACTTTTCCACAATTTTACAGTTACATTTAGGAAGAAAGATTTTCTTTATATCAAAGAACATATTATTATCATTTAGTTTAATATTCTCAGTATGAACTATCAGTAAGATACCATAATGTTTTCGCCAATAATTTTTTAACTCTAACTATTGGTGTTTTATGGTATTACTACTTTATTGTTTAATACTTACAAAGTCAATTACAGAATTGTTATTTATATATTGTTTATTTTGTCCATAGTAAAGAACTTAATAGCCACCATATATAAAATTCACACTAAAATTAATATTTAGTTGAGACAAGATCATGGAATAATTAAATCCTTTTTCACCTTAAGATTCAATATGAATTTAAAAATAATCTCACTGTTAACTCACATATTAATATATATAAGTACATTGATCCTAATGTATAAATGATCAAAATCATGCCTTAATATCTGGTGATGATTATGTCCTCTTGACTTGTTTTGGTCACAGTGGCTAACCTCATTAACAATGAAATAAACTTTATTCAATTAGACATATATTCAATTAGATTAGAATTAGATATTTATTCAATTAGACATATATTACAAGTACTTTTGAATTGTCAGTTTAATGTAAGCATCAGTGTAGTCAGTCTGTGAGGAAGCTACCACCGGTTCGGAAAGCAGTTCTGCTGAGAAGAGCTGGCAAGAAACAACAGTTGCTTTTTTTAAATATCAAAGTTATATTTATTTTATTATCATAACATCATAGTTAGCTTGCATATGAATCAAGTCTTGAACAGGGTAATACACTTTTCTAAGTAAAATATTTTAAATTTTATCTTTAAATTTTTGAAAAGCCCATGAAGGATTTATTCACTTGGACTTAAAATCTAGCCATAACAAAGTTATTTCTATTCCTAGTGTTTATTGTGTGTCTATTACTGTTTTTTACATAATTATTTGAATTTTTAAGAACAACTAATACACATTTATTATACACACACACACACACACACACTATATATTACACAGAATATATTGTGATGCAACCATAAGAATACTATTTTTTTTAAAACATCTCACAGGGAATCACAAGCTCTTAGATCATAAATAGCCCATACTGCGCTTTTTTGAAGAATAAACATCGAATTAATTTCCGCAACACTGCTATAAAGAAGTATTCTGTAAGATAAAATACTCTGAAAATATGTTAAATATACAAGTCGGGCAGTATTAATATTCATTAAGTTTTTAATTTTCCTCACTGCATAGGCGACGGAGCCGAGTTTACCTGCAAGTGTTGAGAGATGGAGGTTCCACTGGAGCTCGGAGTCTTGTGTTATACCTAAAAATATTGTTGATTCGGTTATTTCCAGTGTTTCATTATTCATAATCAGGCTAAAATTCTGATTTTTTACGTTAGGCAATGTAAATTCGACACATTTTGTTTATTTTGCATTTAATACTAGGTTAATTAATTCAAACTAACTTTAAAAATTAGGGAGATATCATCAGGAAAAAGTCCAAACAATAAAAACTATAGATTCGGCCTCCGTGTTGATAATAATGTTTATTTCAATAAGATTTTCAAAAAATATTTAATGTACAGATTCGGCTTGGTTACAATTTTATTATATGTACCTATAGATAAATGGAGAGCCGATTTTTTTGTTCAGTTATACTACGATTACTACTGAACCGATCCGAATAATACTCATACCATAAGATGTAGCGTGTTTCGGAGAAAGTTTTAGTATATGATATGTTGGTAATTAATGTACTATGCAGGCGGAGCCGCAGGAAAACGTTAGGTTATTATAATATGACTTAGCAATTTTACTGACATGTCCGATAAATCACCGATTTTTTTGGATTCAAAGTTTTAAATATTTTCACAATGTTCTCAGATAAACATGTTTGAACGCGAAGAAATTATTATTATTTAGTGTAACATTAAATTTCATTATTTTAATTGCCTTTGATGGAGATGGTTTTTATAATTGAATTACGGTCAAAGGTATTTTCGAAAAAAAAAATTCAAAACTGTCGGCCAATTAACGATCCGAAGTTATGCTAATTTTATTAATATTTAAGCTAATGGGTTGTTTAGGAGCTTTCTGTAATGTCAGCAATTACGTCCCAAGTTGCTTTAATTTTATTATCAGAATTTATGATTTTATTTCTTAAAAATATTGACTTATTCGTGGGAACATACTTTAAATACATACTTTTTTTTTTAAATTGAGAAAATTCGTACTATACTAAGGAACACCGGATCATGAAACTAGCCAACTGCACCAATAGATATTATAGTGCACAAAAATTAGCTCAGACAGGAGTGCACTCTTTATTCCTTTTAAAATCACACCAGTGCACTCTCTATTCCTTTCAAATTCTGATGGGATGACAATTCGACACGATCTCTGAGAGATCAGGTGCAAGACTGACCTCTTTACATGCTCTCTAAAGCAAGTGGGTGACACACCATCAATTTCCCAACCCCAGGTTGTTTCTTAACAGAAACACTAACTAAACTTGGTCCGACCCGGAATTCGAAACCAGGACCTCCAGATGTGCAACAATTATATATACTAGCCACTATACCAAAGCATAGAAACCCATTTAGTTCTCAAACCGGTTTTGGTCATTGACCCCAAACCGAAAGGCCTTTTGGTTTAAGGTTTCGGTAATGTTCTTTAGCCGGTCTAGGTTACATGATCGAAAATTAACCGGTTAAAATGTGTTTTTGTGCGTTTATATTTGACGAATCCTTGCTAATGGAGAGTTGCTTATTAGAATAAATATATAGAAAGGTACCTACATATATGATTCTGGAATTAAGTGGTTTATTTCGGTATCGATACCTAAGCTTAATATCTATGAATAACCGTTACCCTTTATTATTTCGGCTTAATAAACAGTTCGTTTTTATTAACCAGTTAATGAACGAGCGATGAATTAACCATTATATTACCAAAATTAACCGTTTGTGTAAACCGGTTCTGAGACCTGCACTACTATCTGCTACTCTATTTTAATAAATATCTAAAAATACAGCTTGAAGCCTTGACATATAAGTAATAA